TTTCTTTCTTTCTTTCTTTCTTTCTTTCTTTCTTTCTTTCTTTCTTTTTTTCTTTCTAGGGGAAGGCCACGACCCTGCCCGCAAATGGGCATTTAGGGCATCCTGTCCATTGATGTCTGAGACAAACACAGCACTGCCTTCCGGGGCTGCGCAACCTTACTCTCCAACGTTGGGGATTCAGCCAAGACCCGGGGAGACTTGTCTTCGTTAAATCGCTTAACCTACTTAGGTGTCAATCTTCAACGCAGGGGTCTCCACCATCGCTACCCCCGCCTTAGTAGAATTCGTGGGGGAAAGTGGGCACTAACGACATCATCCCAAACAGATGTAAAACAGGCTTAAGACGTGTGGAACACGCTACAGTTAGAACCTGTAGCACCTTGACAGAATCGGTTCTTCACAGTAGCTGGGAACCCAAAAGGGCTTCTGTGACAGTCCAACCCCCGTCGGGGCCGAAACTGGTGCATCCACAACTTCATTCAGCAGCTCGGTCCTGAAATTTTGATGGGAAACCGGAGTTCTTCCCTGGCTCGCACAGCAAAGGGAGAAGCGGTGGGCCGGGGTTCAGCTCTTCTCCCTGTGCGCTGCTGCGCGGTGAGCTCAGTGGGAGGCACTCTCTGGAGGCTGAGTTCAGCTCAGGAAACCAAAAGTTCGGAGAGCCTCCTTTGCGTGTGTCGGAGAAGAGGTTGCGCAAATCTAAGTTCCCAGTCTGTCCTAGGAGAGGCGTAAGGGTGCGCGTTATGATTGGCCTCCGTAGGACTGGCGGGCGGGGCTTTTAGTGGAAAAGACGCCTTAGGATGAGGTTCGGGCGGGGCTCTGGGCGGCCCTCAAGCAGATTCACCTAATCTAATTGGTTGTGTCTAGAAGTGGGCGTGTCCTCTATAGACCAAACCCCCATTGTCAGTACTAGTCTACCAGGGTCGACTTTTAGGCCTCACGGGGTAGAGGACGGTTCTGCGCCTGCGCCTACGACCGTTTTCATTCGCGGTGCTCGGCGCCCAGAGCCTGGGCAAGCCGGTGGGAGCCGCCTCCGCCATGCACCGGCTGCAGGTAGTGCTCGGCCACCTGGCCGGCCGGCCCGAGTCCAGCTCGGCCGCGCTGCAAGCCGCGCCCTGCGCCGCTGGCTTCCCGCGGGCCTCGGCCTCCGACGTGGTGGTGGTGCACGGACGGCGCACCCCGATCGGCCGTGCGGGCCGCGGCGGCTTCAAGGTGAGGCCCCTCCCTCCGGCGGGCGAGGGGTGCCGACGGCAGCCAGCGCGGGTGGGGTCCGCCCTCTGCGGTCCGGTGACCGACGAGGGGCCCCGGGTCGGTGCGGGAGCCGGGCTCACCGCTGTTGTGTCCTGCAGGACACCACCCCCGACGAGCTTCTGTCGGCCGTGCTGACCGCGGTGCTCCAGGACGTGAAGCTCAGGCCTGAGCAGCTGGAAGACATCTCCGTGGGTGAGCGCACCTGCCGCTCCCGCAGCGGCCCTCCCCGACCTCCTCCCTGGGCCCTTTCTTTCTCAACGAGAACCTGGGTTTCACTGAGCAAGACGGCGCGCTACACGAATTTCAGTGGGAGGGTCCCTTGATAACCAGCCCGTGCTCCACCCTAGGCACACCAGCCAAAAGCAGGATGCCCTGTGGTAGATGCTCCAAAGCAGCTGTTCTCAACCTGGGGGTCGCTACCTTTTTTGGGGGGTCGAACAATCCTTTTACAGGGTTCGCCTAAGACCATCAGAAAACACAGATATTTACAATCCATAACAGTAGCGCAATTACAATTATGAAGTAGCAACAAAAAATGATTTTATGGTTGGGGTCACCACAACATAAGGAACTGTGTAAGGGATGCAACGTTCTGTCAGTTGAGAACCGCTGCTCCAAAGCCCAGAAGTCCAGGAACCGGGAGAGCACGGCTCTCCACCTACACAGGCACCCTGCCTGTCAGAAACCATGTGGTCCAGCCCGGGTTACAGGTGCAGGCGGGCTCACCAGCCCTGCCCTGACCCCTGCTCCTTCCCCGAATACAACAACACAGTGCAGGGCACGGTTTTGTCTGGAGGTGCCGGCCTGACCCTCCTTCCTGCAGTGAGGCCTGCAGGCAGAGAGTTGCAGGCTGTCACTTCCCTCAGCGTTGGGGCTTTGCACTGTGTGCCTCCACCCCAGAGTCTGTCCTGTTACAGGCCAGCAGGCCCGGCCCAGCCTGTGCCAACTTAGAGGAGCAAGCCTTGGTAAGCATGCTGGTAGGCTCCAGCACTGGGCTGTTGGTAGCTGGCTCCCGGTTCCCCAGACTCTGAACTTGCATAGCTTCAAATGAGTCCAGGAAAATCCTGACATGATCCCGAAGGAAGATCTAGAGTGTCACAGCTGAGCCTTGGAAACCGCAGAACACTTCTTGGTACTGAATAAGGTTTCTGTCTACAGGCAACGTGCTTCAGCCCGGAGCTGGGGCCATCGGGGCACGCATCGCCCAATTTCTGAGGTAACCCTTCTGCCTCTACTGGGGATTCTAGCACCATTGACCAGGGTGCAGGTGACAGATAATCAGGTTGGATACTAGACATTAAATCGACCAGAATCCTTGAACTCAACTTTTCTCCTACTCTGAAGGGTGTGTTACTTGGCCCAGAACCAGGACACCAGGGCTTTGGGACCAGAGCAAAGGTGGCCTGATGTTTTCCAAGGCGAACTTGTTTTTACCCTTTGGACGTGTGGACTCTACCCTCACATGTCAGATAAATAATTGTATAACCACACCGATCAAGTGGCTTTGCTTCCATTCCTAAGTGAACTGCCTGAGAACTCCAGGCTCAATCTGTATCACAAGCTTGAGAGTGGGGGTGGGGAGCAGGGAGCCAAGAGGAGCCCGTCCAGTTGCAGACGCAGGATCCTACAACACACAGGAGAGAAATAATAGCAGCAGTGGCCAGTGTCCGAACAGGGAAAAAAACAGAACCTAGAGGATGGGAGAGGGTCAGCCTTAGCCTTCCCATTCCTCCTGTAACTTTCTGCTTCCTCACTTTGGTTTCCCTCCTTCTGCCATCATGGCCTCCAGGCCCTGTGCCGCCCATTCTGTCCATATAGAGGTCTTGCTCCCTACTCTTCTTGTTCTAGCCAGTCCCTGCCCAGACACCTTTGGAGACTGGCTTTCAAGTGGTCAGATGAGTGACCTTTTGTCCATTGGATTGCTGTGTTCCTCTCTGCGCTGTGGCTTTGCCATCTGGTCCTGTTATTCCCATCTCTGAGAGTGGATTGATTTTCTCTGTATTGGCTGGGCATCTTTTGGGACACAGTATTGTTGGTATCTTAGCCTCCTTGACACAGTACCTTGTGCTCAGCAGCTATTTGATGGAAGTTTGGTGAATGGGTAGTGTGGCTCCATGAGACTGTGGCAGACTCAGGGCTGGCTGCGCGTCCAGGGCTGACTGCCGTCTCCCTTTCTGTCTCAGTGGCATTCCAGAGACTGTTCCTTTGTCTACAGTCAACAGACAGTGTTCGTCGGGACTGCAGGCAGTGGCCAATATTGCTGGTAAGTTGTGACTGCTGGGTGCCCATGAGCGTACCCTGACCTTGGTCCGTGACCCTTGCCACCCTAAGCAGGAGTGGAGGAACACCCATTGTCACTCCCCCAGCCTTTTTGGGTGCTCCTGGGTCTTCTGTGAGGCTTTCTTGAATGCAACCCGAGAGCAGGGAGGGACCGGGCTGTGCTGGTCCAGGGCAGGCCCCCTCTGGCCAAGGGTGGTGATGAAGTGCTTTTGTTGCAGGTGGCATCAGAAATGGGTCTTATGACATTGGCATGGCCTGTGGGTAAGATTGCCGTCCTGCCGGACCTTATTAACCAACACAATAATCAGACTAACTTTGCTCTCCTCAGCTCTGAGGGACAATGATTTCAGGGTTCTCCCTGACCACTAAGACAGCTAAGTAGGCTGGGCTCCCCAAAATGTGGCTAGGAGTGGCCCAAGCACTGGGCAGCTCAGGAATGGTCCAGTCTTCGCACCAGCAGGAAGGGGAGTCGGTCTCTCCCTGGGAATCTGCCAGGGTGGAAAATGCAGACAAGCATGTTGAGAAGAAAGCGCTACACTAGAGCTTCAGTGGCTGCATCCTCTGTGCCTGTTGAGAAAGGAATGTCAGTTTCGTTCTGTAAACGCAGAGACAAGTGGAGCAAAGTGAGTGGCTCACATTGGTGCAGCCCAGCTAGTGAGAGCCTGAAGCAAGCGGATCTCAGGTTAGAAACCACGCTAAAGCCAAGGGCGCCTTGTGTTGTGTAAGTGTTACTAGCCTACCCATTCTCTTGTCACCAGCCCGGCACTTGGGTGCAGCTATATTCCGAGGGATAGGCGGCCGGATATCTGTCCACCATCACCACCTAGATCCAGGCTGCTAGGGCTTGGCGTGTATGAAGCTGGAAAGACAGCTAAGGGAGCACTTGGCCGGCTTCGGAGCGAGCAGCCCCAGTTCTGTAGAATGGCTCTTGATAGGAGGCGCTGCTGGCCTGTGGTCAGGTTCTGTAGAATGGTCCTCATAGGAAGCGCTGCTGGCCTGTCCTCAGGCCCTGGCTGCCTGCCCTGGGCCGTGCTGACCAGTGTCAGTAAGGAGGACAGCCAAAGTCCACAAACAGGGATCATGCCAGCCTGCCCATCACTGATTGTCATGTTTGCCTTAATGAGGGCCACAGAGGTCGTGGCTCAAGGGAAAGTGGAAAGTGCCGGGCCTGCATGAGTTCCTCAGGAGATTCCAGTCTCTATCAGTTTGAGGACCCAAGTGTTGGATGCCCGCATCACAACCTGACCATCCTCTAGCCTTTGAGAATGCAGCTTGCCCAGGGCCTCCTACCCGAGGGTTATCTCTGGGGCCAGTTGTAGTCCAGGTTGGACAACTATGGACAAATTTCTCACCACTCAGACTTCATTGTCTTCATAAGCTGAACCTTCTGCAGCTAGCACCATAGGCTCCAGAGTCATGTGGTAACTCTCAAGGGCTCTTATGCTTAAAAAGAGTTCAAGCTAGTGCTAAAGATAGAAAAAACACTCAGTTAAAGTGATCTACTATCATCCTGAAGTTTTGCCCTCCCCAACACACACACACACACACACACACACACACTCTCTCTCTCTCTCTCTCTCTCTCTCACACACACACACACACACACACACACACACACACACACACACACACCCTTTTTGAACCCTCTAAACTAACTACCTGACCATCCTTTTTGCCTATTCCAGTCAGGTCTCTCTTTGATTGACTTTGTACTTGTTTTTCGAGACAGGGTTTCTCTGTGTAGTCTTGGCTGTCCTGGACTCACTTTGTAGACCAGGCTGGCCTCAAACTCACCGAGATCTGCCTGCCTCTGTCTCCCGGAGGGCTAGGATCACAGACATGTACCACTGTGACCAGCTAACGTTGTATTTATTTTAAAGGAATTTCTCCATTCTCCCTTTGAATTTGAAGTTACTGAGAGCTTGGCCTAACTCTGGTCATATGTCCGATGCTTGGGGAAGGCTGTCCCTGGGGGCAGACAGTTTCCTGCATCAGCACACTGGGAGTATATCTGGTACACCAGCTGTGTGCTAGGCTTGAAGGAGAGAGGGCTCAGCTGCCCTGTTACCTCCACCTGCCTTTCTCTGGCTTCCCAGACAGCATAGCACGCTCCCCGAGGGCTCCCCGGCTATTTGTTCCCCAGCACTTGCTGCTCAGCTGGCTGCCCCTGGGGCTTCCTGCTAGGGCTGAGAGCTTACTCCTCCTCCTCCTCCTCCTCAGGGTGGAGTCCATGTCTCTGTCTGAGAGAGGGAACCCTGGGAATATTTCCTCTCGCCTGCTGGAAAACGAGAAAGCCAGGGACTGCCTGATTCCTATGGGGTGAGTGTTCACAGGGCGCTGTGTGTGTGCCCGCTCACCATTTTGTCTGTCATTGACCAGACACCAGGGAATTTTCTTCTCTGTGGCTGGCAGTACTGTCTTCTTCCTCTGCGTGTCATATGCTCCACAGGAACTGGGTGTAAGAATGATGCTGCCCCTGACTTCCCTTTCCTGAGACATGCCCCCGTAGACCACACAAACACACACGTGCACACACACACACATATACACAGAGTTCTCTCTGACTCCACAAGTTTCCGAATGTAGCTCATCCTGCATTGCCCTGTCTGAGGTGCTCTGTCTTAGAGAAGGCAGTGCTAGCAGACCCCAAAGCCTTGGAGCCCTCAGCAGTTGCGGACACAGAGAGCTTGGATTCCTGTACAAATAGGTGAGGACTCAGGCCTATGAGATGCAGTGTGGGAAGATCTGTTTCATCTGTCCAGGGCTTTAACCCTGCAGCCACATCTTTGAGTTTAGTGTGTTCAAGGGCAAGGGATTCTGGGAGGCTGGCCACGTGAGAACTGTAGGCTGACCTGGCTTGGTCTACAGCCTGTGTTTCTAAGAGTAGCCTGGAAGCCATTGGAGAAACTGTGGCCAGAGTGTGTCCCCCCTTGAGTTATGGGCTGAGGCAGCTCACCCAGTGGACAGATCTTTTTATAGGCCCCACATTCACACTGCTCTGCTCTGTAAGGGGTGTCTGTCTTTGAGCATTGGTAGACATGGGTGCTCAATATCCATAATGGGTCGGGAGTTCCTGGGGTGTGGATTGGAGGTTGTGTGGGACCTGGATGCCCAGAGGTACAAGCCCAGGCCTTCAGTGTGGCCCTGGCCCTCAGGCCAGCAGACCCACGGCCTCCGCCTTTCTGTTTGTGTGCTAGGATAACTTCAGAGAACGTGGCTGAGCGGTTCGGCATTTCACGGCAGAAGCAGGATGCCTTCGCGCTGGCCTCCCAGCAGAAGTGAGTACGGTTGGGTTGACTGTTGACAGGGCTGGAGAGTGGCCTTAGCTGGGCTGTCACAATGATACCAAGGTGCTGGCTGGCCTCCCAGCAGCATTGAGTGCCCTGGGATGGCTACGGACAGGGCTGGAGAGTGGATCAGGGGTCACCCTTGAAGTTTCAGGTGGAGCTCTGCCACAGGACAAACTTCGTCTCTCTAGCTGGGAGGTAGCAGTGGCCAGCACCATGATGGGTTGGACAAGGGCATTCCCAAATTATGGAATAGGCCCGAGTCTGGGGAGGTGACCTCAGGCAAAGCTAAGCTGCCATCAGAGAAATGCAAAGGCTCGATCTCTGGGCTGCCTCGGTTGGCCAGCCCAGCTGAACAAGGAGGAAACAACAAAGGAATGGTAGTGTCTGGGCCAGGTGGCCACCTCAGGCGGGTCTCAGCAGAGGCAGGACAGACAGCTGAGAAGCAGCTTGTCCAACTGCTTCTTTGAAGAACTCCGCGTAACATCAGAAATGACACTCTGCCTCCAGAAAGGTGAAAGGAGAGGACTTATTCCCCAAAGTTGACCTATGACCACCACATGCATGCTGTGTAAGGAGGACCAACCTCTTCAGTCTTCCTCCCCTGCTGAGGTGGGAATTAGACATAATGTAGAGCTGTGGGGCAAATGAAGAAGAGTCTGTGCATTACTGTCTTCAGGCAGGCTGTGCCTACCAAAAGATAGGTGAGGGCCCTGAGGAATCCGTTCCAGTCAGAGCTCCTCAAGGGCCGGTATATTACCAGACTTCAAACCCTGAAGCATGTGTTCTCCTGAGTCAGCTAAGGCTGGGGACAGGCAGTAAGGGGTCCCAGACATGCCTGTGTCTTACTGTCCATGGTGCTGGCAGGGCAGCGAGAGCCCAGAGCGGTGGACGTTTCCGAGCCGAGATCGTGTCTGTGACAACCACCGTCCTCGATGACAAGGGCAACAAGAAAACCATCACTGTGACCCAGGATGAGGGTGTCCGTCCCAGCACCACCATGGAGGGCCTGGCCAAGCTGAAGCCTGCCTTCAAGGATGGGGGATCTACCACGGCTGGTGAGCGCAGGCCGGGAATAGGGCTGATTGAGGTGACCTGTTCCAGTCTGAGACCTGGAGCTGACCGGGACCCCTGGGAAGGTGATGGTGGAGGGCTGGCTCTCCTCAGCTGGGCCTGATGCCTGCTCATCCCTTCCCTCCCCTAGGAAACTCCAGTCAGGTGAGTGACGGAGCGGCTGCCGTCCTGCTGGCCCGGAGGTCCAAGGCTGAAGAACTGGGCCTCCCCATCCTCGGGGTCCTGAGGTCCTACGCAGTGGTTGGCGTCCCTCCCGATATCATGGGCATCGGGCCTGCCTATGCCATCCCCGTGGCCTTGCAGAAAGCAGGTGAGGCGGCTTCTCAGCCTGTGCTTGGATCCCTCCTTACCTGTCCCTAGGGCTCAGGTGTGCTGGGTTTGGCCTGTGGGTGCTGTGGGTGGGACAGGCCCTCCTGACCCCACAGCTGGGACTTGCTCCCTTGTCCCTAAAGTATGAACATTAGACTCCTGGGGTCTGGCTGGGCCGGGGAGACCCAGGTCAAGCCCAGTGGTCCCTGTCAGCTCTGGCCTGTACTTCACCCACAGGGCTGACTGTGAACGACATAGACATCTTTGAGATCAATGAGGCCTTTGCCAGCCAGGTGAGCCTGGGTGCTGTGGTGGGATCGGTTGGGCAGAGCAGATGGGGGCCTCAGCTATCGCTCTGACCCCTCGCAGGCCCTCTACTGTGTGGAGAAGCTGGGGATCCCTGCCGAGAAAGTGAACCCCCTGGGGGGTGCGATAGCCCTGGGCCACCCCCTGGGCTGCACCGGAGCGAGGCAGGTAGTCACGCTGCTCAATGAACTGAAGCGCCGTGGGAAACGGTAAGGCTGCTCCCCTGGGGTGCTGTGGGGGGTGTGAGAGCTGGGGCTTGGGGAGACGAGCACACACACCTGAGGCTTGTGTAAAGGCAGCATAACCTAAGGAAGGTGTCTGCCGCCTGGGCGTGTGTCTGTCCAGGGCTCAGTCCCCACAGATCTGCTCTGCGGGTTCCCGTGCTGCTGCGGCTCGGCCTGGTGGGGGCACGGGTTGGGTGTGGCTCTGTCCAGCAAACTCGGAGTCTTTTCCCCAGGGCGTACGGCGTGGTGTCCATGTGCATCGGGACCGGGATGGGAGCTGCTGCCGTCTTTGAATACCCTGGAAACTGAAGCCCTGGCTACGGGCACCACCAGAGCGCCCTACAGTGGTGGCCAGAGGGGGACTCCACGGAGGCCATTGGCATGGGACACCACTGTATCACAGCACTTTAATGTAATGTAATCATTGGTGGCACAAGAAGGCGGGGCTGTCCCATGAAGTACCCCGGGCTATGGCAACATGAGCGTGGGACACTGTGTTGCGAGGGCATTTGTACCTCTGAGTAGTAAATGCGTGGTCTCATTATGGTGGCTGTCATTTCCTTCAGGGGTCAGCTTTTGCCTCCTGGAGTCTGTGCGGTTTGCAAGATTAAGAGCCATGGTCTCCCCACTGAGGTCTAGCTGTGTGCAAGCTCTGGGGTCCTGGCACGCAGGATGTCAGCTGACAGCATGTTCCTGGAACGGGATCTGCCAGCCCAGGCTTCATCCAGCCCCTAGCCACTGTCCCTGCTCAGCAACCCTGCCCTTCAGCCTTGGCCTTTTTGGATTCTTGAGCTGGAGCTGAGGCTGGGGGCTGGAAGCCTTGCAGCTGCTCCAGCACAGTGTGCAGGAGGCATCCATCCTAAGAGCCTGGCCCCACAGCGGCAGCCCAGCACACCTTCCACTCAGCATAGCCCGCTGCCCCTGGAGGTAGGTAGCAGGGACAGCCTCTCACGGAACTCAGTGCTCTGCGCCTAGGTTGGCAGGTCAATCAGCATGTGACCTCCTTCCCCCTCTGCCTTATCCCTTCCATGACGGGATCTTTTCCTAAGGAGATAGGAACAAATGTCTCTCCTCTCCAGGTGGAGAGCCAAGAACAGATCAAAGTGGATCCCACTCAAGTCCAGCTTGTCTGGGTTTCCTTATAGGAGCACGGGCAGCTTATGGTTGTTCACACACTGAAGAAGCCATGCTTCTTCAACACCTTTCATATCCTCAAGGAAGGCTGACGCCTCATGAGCCCTTTCTGCCGTCCGTGGTGGAATGTCAGTGGACCCATCCTGTGTGGCTGCTGAGCATTCAGCAAGCCAACGGTTTGGAAGATGGAGTTCCGAAGCAGGTGCTCCTGGCGTGGCCTTGACTCCTGAGGCCCTTTCTCTGACCTCTAGCACCCCAGCAGTCCCCAAATCACCCTCAGGTGTTGCCATAGTTCCGCTCCTTCCCTTGGCCTCTGCTGCTGCCCAGGCTGCAGGGTTGAGCCATCAGGCTCTGCCTCTAATTCTGGTGTCTGACATTTCCCCAGCTCTGTCCTTCAAGGATTGTGGCCCTAGCCAGGTGCTCTGACTAGCTAAGCTCCATCTTGGCCTTGGCCTTCCTGCCAGTGAAACTCACCCTGGGGCTCCATAGGCCTGCAGCAACTTGTCCCTCCTAGCTGTCTTGTGCACTCACTCGCTGTCCCCACCCATCAGGCCATCCCCCGGATCTGTCCAGCTAGGTTCCCTTTAGTATACTAGACACAGATGTCATTTTCAGTCTCAAGGGAGCATAGCTGACTTTGCACCCTTCTGCCTTCACTCTTGGGCAAGGCAGGCCTGGCAACAGAGCCCAGGCAGGAGCCATCCTCCTCCTTGGTGGATATGGAAGCCTGCAGTTTGCCTGAGCCATTTGGTCAGCTGACCCCAGGAGTGGACCCCTGAGTGAACAGCATCTTTGGCTCTGCTGCGTGTCCACTCTGGCAGAATCTGGTTTGCCTGGAGCTCCTAGTAGGACGCAGTGGGAGACACTGTCACCCCAGGTTGCTGGTGGCTAATGACCTGCTTCATCTGAAACTGTCTCCTGCGTTTCTGCTTGTGGCTGCTGCCAAGTCCAGGAATTCCCTGTTCTCCCCCTTCTTGGGGCAGTCCTTCCAGCCTGGCAGACCCAGCTGCCCAGCACACAGCTCAGCAGTGCCACCACCTGGTGCATTTGCTGTGCAGACACTGCTCTGCCCAGCACCTGGTCAGGACAGAAGCCAAGCCTTCCCTGCCCTCAGGGATCAGACAGGGCGAGAGCAAGGAAACTGCCCTTCTCACACGCACCACCACACCCGGCTGAATCTCCATAATTTTTATTGGTAACACAGGATTATGTGTTTCCAGACTTTTCCTTCATGTGCATAGATGTGCTAGCTACGAACGTTCACATTCGAAGGAAACTAGGCAAGCCAACTCCGGGGGGATGAACACTGTAAAATCAGAAGATTAACATTTAATTTTCCTAAACCAAATTTGCTTCTAAAGAGAGTGCAAACACACACGATAGGCACATCCCCTTTGGGGAGGCTGAGTACAGCTCCCCACAGAGCTGTTTGCTCAGACATCAAAGTCCATCAAGCTTTGCTCCAGCTGTAAACACTAACTCGGCTTTTTAAAGTCTTAATGTCAGCTGCACAAGCTACTTATTTAATGGGAAGCAGGTCCAACACCAGCAGCTAGCACAGGAATTAGTGATGTCTGCCCAGATAGGGACAGGTCAAAATATTATCCGACTCATAACGACTTCCCACTGATCTCAAGACTTAATTTTAATTACTTCTCCTGAGCCACAGTAAACGGAATATAGACTTAATTTCTAATATGTCCCAAGATGAAATCTCTTGCATATAAGTATATTATAAAATTACAGGCACATAAAACAAGTTCTTGGATCTGAACTGTAATTGACTTATCTAATTCAGTCCCTAATTTCTGGTGGTTCCTTTGTTTTTGCTTTGTTTCATAATACTGGGGGTTGAATCTGTAGCCTTGTCTCTGCCAGGAAAGACAACTGTACCTCTGTTGCTGAGCTGCACCCCCAGCCCTCATTTTATTTTCAGACAGAGATCATTACATTGCTCAGGCCGGTCTTGGAGTCACTGCAGATGCGGGTGCAGGGAGCCAAACCCAGCTCCACTGCAAGAGCAGTATCTGTGGGGCCATCTCTCCAACACCTTCCTTAGAGCCTTGCTCTCAGCCTTGGTGCTCAAAGTCTCTATTAAAATATCTTGTGCTGTCAAGATGGCTCAGTGGGTAAGGATCCTTGCTGACAAGCTTTGTGATCTGAGTTCAATCCACATGGTGGAAGGAGAGAACCTATTTCTGTACATTGTCCCCCGACTGCTACACATGGGCCATCACACACACTAAATAAATAAGCGTAAAAACAAAAACTGAAATAAATTTGACTTTGCTTTATATTGGCTGGTCCTTTTTTGTGTCTGTCGGAGCCGGGCATTTCAGTCTGGCCTGCGTTGAGGTAACTGAGAGAATACACGGAGCTCCTCAGGCTACTGTGCATGCTAGACTGGAGCTGTGCCTTCTTCCCTGTACCCCTCAACAATATGAGTTTCCCCTGTTCTCTACGGACATGCGCACAGAGGAGGCCACATTTGCATGTCTGGGGAGGAGCTCTCACCGGGAGCTGACCGTCAGTGCTATGGCCTTAGACTTCTCAGCCTGGGGACCTCTGAGAAACAGGTGCTTGATGTGTGCGCCATGGCATTGGTTACAGCAACAGGAGCGACACACAGGTCCTTAGGGGTCCCACTGATCCTTTTTGAATTTTTAGGATCTGCCTGTATGCTGTTCAACTTCTAGGTGGCATGATATGGCCCAAGTCCCCACCTTCCGGGAAGATCCTTCTAATAGCTTCTACCTTATGTCTGTGTGTGTGTGTCCCATGTATTCATAATTCTCTTTGAGCAGCCTCCAACTGTCCTACTCACTCCCACTGGGGGGGGCTACAGCTCCCAAATCATTGTTCTCAACCCAGGTCCCATTCCTGAGCCAGAGGTCAGACCTCCAAGCTGTCGAACCAACATCTCCATCTAGATACCCCAGAGGGGCCTCAAGAGGACAAACTAAAAACTAGACCATCACACCACACAGCCTGAGTTCCTTTCCTTGTCTCTAAGAGCATGAAACCCCTGTCCGTGTGGCAGTGGCCTCTTGTGGATTTCATCATTGCCTTCCCCTCCACTTTTTTTTTGACTGAGTTTCACTGTGTGGTCCTGGCTGTCCTGGGACTCTATGTAGAGAAGGCTAGCCTTGAACTCATAGAGATCCGCCTGCCCCTGCCTCCAGAATGCAAAGGCCTGAGCCACCATGCCTGGGCCCGTGGCCCATTCTTTATCCCACTATGCACCCACACCATTTCCTGGCCTCATCCACCAGACCCTTTTCTGATGTTCTCAGACAGGTGCACTGTGAGAATACTGAATTTGGGCAGGGAGATGAGAGGCGTGTGGAGCAGAGGCACCCCAACTGAGTTCCCTCCCAGGCAATCTGCTGACCTGTGGGTAACAATAAAGGACAATTTCAAACTAGGAATGGTGGCACAGACCTGCAATCACAGCATTTGAGAAGGTGAGGCAGGAGGATCAGGAACTCAGCCAGCCTGGGGTGTATGAGTCCTTGTCTTAAAATGGCTTATGTTGGGCCAGATTTGGTGTCCCCAGTCTGTAATCTCAGCTACTGGGAGGCTCTGGCAGGAGGATTGCAAATTCAAGGCCAATCTGGGCAGAAGGAATTTTTGAGCCCAGAGAAGATTATCAATAGTAGGAGGAGGAGGAGGAAGGAGCTGAGGGAGGGAAGGAGGGAGGGAGACACACACACACACACACAGACAGACAGACAGACAGACATAGAGATTATTGTTTTTTATTTTTGAAAAAGATCTTGCTATGTATCCTGGGCTTGCCTCAAGTTCTCAGTCCTTTAGTCCCACCCTTTCAAGTGCTGGATTAAGCTGTAAGCTATTATCCTAAATTTAAGATTTTGCTTGTTTTTGTTGTTGTTTGTTTTTGTTTGTTACAAAGGGTTGATCTAGGGCACAGGTCAGTGAAAGCTACCTGTTCGCTTTCTTTTTCTTTTCTTTTTTTTTTGGGGGGGGGGGGAAGGGTTCACTGTGCAGCCTTGGCCAACTTGGAATTTGCTGTATAGACCAGGCCAGCCACAAACTCACAGATTCACCTGCCCACCCTTCCTAGTGCTGGAATTAAAGGTGTGCACTAACACACCCATCTTGGCCTGCAGAACCCCACCCACATTTTATTTTGAGACAAAGTCTCTCTATTATGTAGCCCTGGCTGTCTAGGAACTCTTTATATAGACCAGACTGGCCTTGAACTCACAGAAATCTAAATGTCTCTGCTTCCTGAGTGCCGGGAGCCAAAGCTATTTACTGAAGCCAAAGCGAATTAGTAAGCCAATGCCAATTAGTGGAAAAGTTACCAACAGCCGCACTAGGACCCTAGGTCATAGGTGATAGGTTTATGTGAGGACATCTGCTCGTTAGTCTTGGAGCATCCTTGAGACCTCTTAAGGAAACATTCTTGAGGTATCTTGCAGGAGGTATCTCAAACCATAAAGCGCTCTTGCTATCTTCTGCAGCAGTAAATTAGCCTTCCCCCTTTCCCGCCTTCTCCCTATATAAGTTGGGTAAAATTTCTAATAAACAAGGCTTTGATCAGACAACAGACTTAGCCTCATTCCTGGTGTCTCTGTGTCCTACCTCATTCTTTCCACCCCCTGGAAAGGAACCTGTTGAAGCCCCTGAGTGCTGGGATTAAAGGCATGCACCACCACAACTGGCTTCTTCAGCTCCCCTTTAAATTTATTTTGAGACAGGACTTCAATAATTTACCCAGGCTGGTCTTGGACTTGTGATCCTCCTGTGTCAGTCTCCCTAGTGCTGGGGTTACAGATATGTGCCCTCATGACCAGGGAAAACAGTTTCTTTCTTTCTTTCTTTCTTTCTTTCTTTCTTTCTTTCTTTCTTTCTTTCTCTCTCTCTCTCTTTCCTTCCTTCCTCCCTCTCTCCCTCCCTCCCTCCCTCCTTCCCTTCCTCCCTCCCCCCTCTCTCTTTCTCATTGGTACAAATAAAATGACAAGGCCAGGACAAACAAAAGATAGGATGGAGTTGGTCAAGCCTGCCTTCCACCATCACAGTGAGGACTAAGTACGCTCAGCAGGCCTCATACGTGTCCTTGAGCAGTCCCACTGTCTGGCCTCTGAGCGGTGACTGCTGAGGGCCTAGGTCCCCAATGAGCAGTGAATGTCCTAAAGGTCAGGCACTTAGTTTGGGCTCCTTCTTGTTCAGGGTGAGCTCCAAGCCACTGGAGTACATCAAGGGAAGAGCCTGGCGATCTGGCACATTGTGTGCTTCCTGTAGGCATGGGGGCTTGTGGGGATTGCTAGAAATCCTCTCAGCTCTGTGAGTACATCTAGTGTGGGTTCTTGTCTGGCTTTGCCATGCCCGACACTTAAACCATCAATATAGTAGCTGACAACAGTGGTGAATGAATCTTGTCCATGGGGACATCTGATTTTTTTTTCAATTGTTGTTTGTTTATTTATTTATTCTCGTGTGTGTGTGTGTGTGTGTGTGTGTGTGTGTGTGTGTGTTGGCACATGTGTCATGCTGTGCTCTTGGAGGTCAGAGGACAACTTCTAGGATGTGGGTCCTAGGGATGGAACTAAGTGGTCTGCTTGGTGGCAGGTGCCTCTACTCCTGACCCATCTCACAGACCCAAGAGAACTGATTTTAAATCCCGAGGTGAGATGTGACACATTTGGGAGAGACCAGATGTGCAGAGTATGGCCAAGGCCTGTCAAAGCCCAGGTATTCCAACCTCAGGACCCATTTCCTTGTGAGTCTTCAGTCACTACCATGAGGTGGACAGCTACTCCACTACCCAAGAGCAATTCCAGAGGATTCCTGGCCCAGGACCACCCAGGGGACTTGCAAGAACTGTCCCCCCAGAGTTCCAACCTTTGCCTCATGTGTCTTCACAGAAAGCCAGGCCTTCTTAAGGCGGGGTGCACGTGTGGGGTGTGAAGCCTGAGGGAAGCGAGGCTCTGGGTGGGAACCTGCACCCTTAGAGACCAGCCAACCCCCCAGCCAGAAGCCGTCCCACTCGCGGCCTCCTGCAGGCGGCGCCAGAGCGTGGTGCCGCCTCGTGACTCCGGTCCAGAGTCCTGCGGGGCGTGGCGAGAGGCGGGCCAGGCGTCTCTGGGCGTTAGAGCGCAGCGACCTACAACTAGACTGTTCGCGCGGGACACATGGACGGACGGACGCACAGACGGCCAGCGGGAATCCCCCGGACCATGGGCCGCCGCTGTTGCCTGGGGTGGGACTTCAGCACGCAGCAGGTAGGCGGGGGCGCGCGGTGGGAGCCTGGCGATGCCCTGCCAGCGAGACTCGTCCTTCCGGAAACCGTGGCTGCCTCCCCGCGGAGCCCCGTGGACACGTAGCGGGGGAAGTGTCTTGAGGGGTCCACGCGGCATCCGGGTTGCAGGGACACTCGGCGAAAATAGCAGAGCCCAGAGGCTGGCAAATGTGCGCGCGCATGCATAGCCTAGATCCGATCACAGCTGAGCACCTTTACTTAATTTTACTTATTATTATTTTATTTTATATTTTGAGACAGGGTCTCAACTTTGGTTGGCCTGGGCTCACTGTATAGACCAGGCTGGCCTTGACCTTACAGAGATCCATCTGCCTTTGCCTCCTAAGTGTTGGATTTAAAGGAGAGTGCCACCACACCAGGCACCTTTATTTTTTAAAAGCGAAATGGGCATAATATACAGATGGACTTTGTCTGTGTCCTGTACCCTGTGACCTCTCTTGGCTGGCACCAGCATGCCAGGGTCTGTGATTCCAGGACTGCTGGTCAGAGGTTGGTGTTCCCAGCAGAGAGAATTAAAACTTGCTTCCAAGCAGGCATGGGACACCCAGTGGGGTGTCAGCATCCATCTTGCGGAACAAGCACAAGGGCTGGGAAAGCCCTCTCCTCAGATGTGTGAAGAAAGGCAGAAGTTGCAGGTTCCTGAGGGGAACATCCCCTAGGACGAGACCTGTCTCACCATCCTCCCTGAGCTTGGGATGGCTGCATTAAGATGTCACTTATGGCTTGACCATGGCTGTGGATCTGGGGACAAGCCCTTGAGACAAGCCTCCTTGCCAAGCGCAGGACCATGGTCCATGGGGAGCAGATTCTTGTAGATGGGAGTTTCATCTGGATTTCCAATTCCATATTCCCCCCTAAATCCCCCAACAGAAGTCTTTAAGAATGCATCCTATGAAACTTAGGTTGTTATGGTTACAGTAATGCCCGTTAGCCTTTGTCCCTGTGCCGAACCTTGACTGAAGTTAGAAGCCCCTCGTGCATGGTGGAGGCTGAGAAAATTCTGTACACGGTTTTCGTAAATGTCTTCCAGGTTAAAGTTGTTGCTATTGATGCCGAGCTGAGCATCTTCTATGAGGACAGTGTGCATTTTGACAGAGACCTACCTGAATTTGGGTATGTACCTGGTGTGCGTCTGTGGGCAGGTGGTGTGAGAGCCTCCCTAAACCACCTTCATTTATCAGCTATACTGTTCTGACTTAACCCAGCTGCAAGAGAGGTGGTCCGTGTAGACCTCTGAGCATCTTCTGTCGCTGTCATCGTCATCATCATCATCATCATCATCATCATTTTATGTGTATGGGTGTTTGCTTGCATGTCTGTGCACCACCTGTTTGCCTGGTGCCTGGAAGGCCAGAAGAGGACATCAGATCCCCTGTAACTGGGGTTACAGGCAGTTGTAAGCCACCATAGAGGGCCAGGAATCAAACCTAGATCCTCTGGAAGAGCAGCTGGTTTGCTCTTAACCCCTGAGCTGTGTCTTTCCAGCCCCAGATACTCTTTTCTTTACATACAGAGAGTGATTTATTCCCCTATTCCTTCCCAGTTCAATGCATTCATTCACTCATAGAGTTGAAATCTGTTTTTACCAGGCACTGTAATGGGTGTAGATTTTGATGGTTGTACTTGGCCACCCTCTGTTACTAATGAGAGAGCACCATAGAGCCAGGCTGTGGTGGCTCACACCTTTAATCCCAGTACTCAAGAGGCAGAGGCAGGTGGATCTCTGAGAGTTTGAGGCCAGCCTGGTCTACAAAGAGAGTTCCAGGGCACTCAGGGATACACAGAGAAACTGTCTCAAAAAGAAAGAAAGCATGCCACAGGCTGGAGAAGCTAGAAGGAAAGCTGTTCACATCAGCTCATGCCTCTGGCCAGAGTCCAGAGAGCACATCTACTGTCGGCCCTGTTTTTCTTAGCAGTCCTTTTGACACATGGCCTGTGCGCATGTATGTACACTAGTGTGTAGCTTCCCTCCTCCGTACCCCTTTTTGAAACAGGGTCTCATGTACCACACTGTGCGGCTGGAGATAACCCTAACCCCTAATGCTCTGCCTTACTTCCTAAATGCTGGGGCACCACATCTGGGTTTGTTGTTTTTTGAGACAAAGGCTCACTTTGTATCCCAGGCTGGCCCCAGTTCACAGTCCTCCTGTGTCAGCCTTCTGAGTGTAGGGATACAGGAGTGCGCTACCACACTTGGCTGCTGGGTTTTTTTTTTTTTTTTTAATTATTATTATTATTTTTTTGTCCTGGAGACCAGAGAGGGCTTTGTCCGTGTTAAACACTTGGTATATCACGGAACTTTACCGTCAGCCTCTTTTGTATGAAGTCACCTGCTTGTTGCGGCTGTAGTGGTTCACACCCATGATCTCAGCACTCAGGACCGAGTTCCAGGCCAGCCTGAGCCATGGTGGAAGACTCTTGGGGTTGGGAGATGGGGTGACCAGTGTTCAGTCCCTAGGCCCAACCCAGCCTTCTGGGCAAGGCTTTCTCTTCTGAGAATCTGCCTTCTAGGAAATGCTTCCTCAGAGCTGGAGAGACAGCCCAGCAGTTAACAGCAGTGACTGCTCATCCAGAGGACATGGGTTCAGGTCCAGCACCCACATAGTGGCTCACAACCATCTATGACTCCAGTTCTAGGGGTATCTTATGGCTTGTTGTGACTGCCAAGAGTACTAGGTACAGTCGTGGTACAGAGACAGACACATAGGCAAAACACCCATATAGATAAAATGAAAACTGAAAAAAAAAAAAAAGCTAAAGCTGTCCAGTTTCATATGAAAAAAGACTCCTGCCTTCAGGGGGTATTGTCCTTCAGCTGGAGGCTTCTACCACAGGGCCAGCTCCTCAGAGCTCAGGGCTCCATCCCACATACCTGTTCTCCCTGCAGAACTCAGGGCGGTGTCCATGTACACAAGGACAGGCTGACGGTCACCTCTCCGGTCCTGATGTGGGTCCAGGTAAGCATAGGGAGGCTCCCTTCCCTCTCCTGTGTTTAGCCTGTGCTGCTGCTGGGCCCACAGTGGCAGTTCACGGGATCATCCACTGAGACTGTTTAACTCTGGTCAGAGGAAGTCAGAGTGGTTCCTGGGGCAGGCCAGCCCGAGCTGGCACCTGTATTTGTCTGAGAAGACTCAGAAAGACTCCCAGGTACCAGAGCCACAAAGGTTGGCAAGTTTTATTTGTTTGTTTGTTTATTTATTATTTGTTTGTTTGTTTGGTTTGGTTTTTCAAGAGAGGGTTTCTCTGTGTATCCCTGGCTGTCCTGGAACTCGCTCTGTATACCAGGCTGGCATTGAACTCGGACATATGCTTGCCTCTGCCTCCCAAGTGCTGGATCAAAGGCAGGTGCCACCACTGCCCAGTTCACCTGTTTATTTTTTAAAGATGGGACCTCATAGCCCAGAGTAGTCTCGAACTCATTGTGTGCTTCTCCTATCTTTATCTTTAAGTGTTGCAGGGGGGTAGCTGCACGTCCAGGGGTATGTTCCTAGGGCTTCCTGCATGCTAGGAAAGCACTCCACCAACTGATCTGTACCCCAGCCCATGCCACCTTTAAAAACACACATAGCCAGGCTTTCCCGGCTCTGCCATCATCCAGGCGTGGCCCCTGGGTTTTAGTGTCTTACTGTTTGTCCCCACAGCGTGGTCACTCAGAATGGTGTCTTATAATCAGCTAGTCAGGCCAAGATCAACCCCAAGCTATTCCTGCCTGCTTAGGACCGCTCACCCTGACCCACCAGTGGCCAGAGCTGGCGACCCATGGGAGGGCCCTTTTAGCATAGACAGACATGATAGGTCTGGGTTGCCTCATGCTGGTGGCACCAACATCCTTGAACTTGAAAGCCAGCAAAGGCAGCACCTAGTGTGTCTGCCAAAAGCCTTTCTCCATCTTCCCATACCTATTTAACACTATCTCCTGTACTGTTTCTGTTTAAGAAACAGACCAGTGTGAGCTCTGTTTTGCTGCCTGACCATGTGTCCAGCACTGGGGCAGTGGAGTTAAGGATGGATTCTAACCAGATGGGTTAGCTGAAATGTACTTCAGAAGCCTGAGCCAGCCCCAGGGTGGTATCCAGAGGCAAGGGCCATTGTCAAGAGGTCCCAGAGATTAAATTAAGGGCTGTGTCGGGTGGGTGGGTGGAGAGCCAGGGGCTCTGTGTGGAGGCAGGATGGTCACTGAGCTGTGGCAGCCTCTGGGCTGTACTTCTAAGGTTTCCAGTCCTTTGCCCTCCCGTGAGGTTTGGCAAGCAGCCTTGTCAGGGCCAGGAGTGATCTTGGCATGAGTGCACTTCCCAGGCTTGGACAAAACTGACCTTAAGAGACACAAGTTGTGATGAGTCTGAAACTCTTGCCATCTGTCTGTCTGTCCCCATGAAATATATACATATTGAGACAGGTTCTCATGTATTCTGGGTTGACTTGAGATACTGTGTAGCCGAGGGTGACCTTGGACTTTGCTCCTCCTGCCCTTAACTCCCAGGTACTAAGTTAATAAGTGTGTGCCACCACGCTTGGTTTTATGCAGCTGTGGGGGTAGAACCCACGGCTCTAGGTATGGCATCCCCGATCATCCGGCCATGAGGTCTTAGGCAGAAATGTCAGACTCTACTGGATACTGCCACCCGTTCTGCCCACTGCTAGAAAAAAGATCCAACCAGACCGAGAGCATTAAGTAGACACTCGAAGGCTCTGGCTCCGCTCGCTGCTCCTGTGTGCAGAGTCTGGACCTGGGGCCCTCCTGATAACAGCCTGGGCTGGCTGGCCCTTCTCTGTTGTTCTCAGGTCAGAGCATTCAGATGTGCAGTAGAAATGCATGTGAAGGAAAAATAGACAATTTGAACTGTTTGCTTTGTTTCTTCCCCGGTGCTTAGAAGATGTCAAAGTAGAGATGGAAATCCTGAGGATTAATGGTTTAGGATTTCATTTCTTTCTTTCTTTTTTTTTTTTTTTTGAGACAGGGTTTCTCTGTGTAGCCTTGGCTATCCTGGACTTGCTTTGTTGACCAGGCTGGCCTTGAACTCACAGAGGATCCTACTGCCTCTTCCTCCCAAGCACTGGGACTAAAGGCGTGGGCTGCCACCACCCGAGTTGGTTTCATTTCTTTAACATTCATTTAGCCTGAATAGCCATGGTGGTGCACACCTGGAATCCCAGCACTTCAGAGGTGGAGGCAGAAAAGTCAGGAGTTCAAGGTCACCGCTAGTTATTGAGAGCTCAGCGAGAAGGTCCTTGTGCTCTCAGATCTCCAGCAAAACCAGCAATGTTAAGCACACAGGATTGTCTTTCCGATGGGAAAGATGAAAAACCTGTTCTTCCATCCAGAAAGCTGAGAGTTGGAAGCGATTAACAGCCTGGTGATCTGTGTTATTGTTGGGCCAGGCCGTGTCAAGCTCCTACAACCAGGGCCATGGGTTGCTAGTAATGTAAACGACTTTTATAGCCAGAGGCTCCCCCAAGTTCCCACAACCAGACCGAGGTAGCCAATAGCCCAAATGACCTCTGTGCTGTCTATATGACTGAGACCAGGCCAGACCTTTCCGCCCTTAAGTTAGTACATGTATCTCCGTCCTGGGAGAAATGACATGTGCCCTGAGTTGAGTTTCAATGTACTCACACTTCCTTGTGCACTGGGGATTGTATTACATCAGGAAACCTAAACATCCCCCCGCCCCCATTACACTGGGCTTAAATATATTGGGAATAAACCACTGGTTATTAGACTCACCGAAGTCTGATCCAGGTTGGCCAAGACAATCTGCACCAGGCTTTTATTCTCATCTCCCCAATGGGTTTGCTTCCCATCCTGGATACCTTCAGGGATCCTTACTTGGCTACATAGTGAGTTGGGGCCAGCCTGGACTGCCTGAGACCTCTCAAAAAAACAAAAAATGAGCTGAAGAGGTGACTCAGTGCCTGAGAGGGTATGCTGCTGCTCTTCCAGGGGCCTGCGTTTAGTTTCCAGCCGTTTGTAACTCCAGCCCCAGGGGATCTAATGGCTTCCTCTGGCCTCCTTGTGCCCGCACACACAGGGCACACACTCACACAGATACATATCCACACACATACATAAAAACAAACGTTTAGAGCAGACAGACAAAAATGTACGTCCAGCCAAGGTGACCCTTTCTTTTGAGGCCTGCTTGTTTAGTCAGTTATCCCAACACTTACAGATCCTGTGTTGAGACCTCCTCTCTGCAGAGCCGTGGGCATTTCTCTGCTCAGGCTTGTGCTTCGAGGACTCAGTGCTTCTGTGGAGTCACGGTAGATTCTGTTCTTCTCAGGCTCTGGACCTGATCCTGGAGAAGATGAAGGCTTCCGGCTTCGACTTCTCTCAAGTTCTAGCCTTATCTGGAGCAGGCCAGGTTTGTCAACAGCAGCTCCATCTGCCCTGGGAACTTAGCTTTCTCAGCAGCCCACTGTGGCTGCTGAGCTGATGGCTTCCCATGGAGTAAGCCAGCCTTCCTTCCTTCCTTTTTTCCTTCCGTTCTTCCTTCTTTCCTTCCTTCCTTCTTTTCTTTTTTCTTCTCTTCTGCTCTTTTCTTTTCTTTTCTTTTCTTTTCTTTTCTTTTCTTTTCTTTTCTTTGAGATAGGGTTTCTCTATGTAGCCCTGGCAGGTTGGCCTTGAACTTGAGTATGGATCTCTTAGTAGTGATAGCACCTCCAGCTCTTTCACCTTAGGAGCTGTATGGCTGGCCTCCTTGCAAAAGAATCTGAGATGATAAAGTATTATATAAAATAGGACATTTAATTAGGCTTGGTGGTGTAGGCCTGTAATCCCAGCTAATTGCTGAGCTGAAGCAAAAGGATTGCAAGTTTAATGCCTGCCTGGACCACAGGTGAGTTTGAGGCTAGCGTGAGCAAGTTAGTGAGACCCTGTCTCAAACAGAGGGCTAGGGGTATAATTCAGTGGTTGAGCACTTTCCTAGCATACAGGAGACTGAACATTTACTCCCCAGTACTCAACAGACAGATGCATAGTAAATAGGACAGTTGGCAGGGAACTATGTACAGGCCCGTGAAGGGATGGAGGAAGCAGTAGCTACAGATTTATTACGGCTGTTTGGTGGCACGAAAATTTCTTTCTAGTTCCTGGAAGACAAACAGTTAAGCTATATTACTAACAATGAGAGCAGTTTTGTGTGTTTTTTATTTTTAAGTGTATGAGTATGTGTGTGTCCATATGTGTGTGTGAGTATGTGAGTATGTATGTGTGTGTAGGTTTGTGCACATGAAGGCAGGTGCCCTTGGAGGCCAGAAGAGGATGTTGGTTCCCTTGGAGCCAGTTACAGGGAGTTGTGAGACCCCCTGGTGTGGTTGTTGGGAACAGAACTTGGGTTCATCTGCTGAAGCGGCAAGCTCTCTTAACCACTGAGCCATCCCTCCAGCTCTGAATAGTTTTAGTGGAAAGTTGAGGAAGTATTCCTACTGTCAAGAGTGTCAACGAGCCTGAGTGTGTGCCAGGCACTGTGCTGAGATCCTCGGGAATCCCAGTGGTGATTCTGAGCTGGTGAGGTGCTCAGGGCACACCCAGCTCTGCCACTTGGACTCCTGAACTGAGTCCAGATCATCCACACACCAGGGCCTCCAGATCGTTACCTGCCATAGGGTCACTGTGACTGTTACATGCATAGAGCACTGCCTGGAACATGAATAACTCTCTTAAATTTTAGCTACTTCCTTTTTCAAATAAAAAAATATTTAGTGTATAGTGAGTTTGTGGCATTGTGCCAGGGCATTTGTGCGTACAGCCTCTGGGAGTTGGTTCCGTTCTTCCATGTGGACATCAGGCATCAGACTCAGGTAGCAGACTTGGCAGCAGGTGCCCAGCTCGTTCTCCGGCTTGTCCCCTCAGCCTGGAGCACCATGCTGCCACTCCTGTCCCTGCTCCCAATAGGAACATCCACTGACCAGGTTGTCTGTGTTCTCATGACTGCAGCTCCACAGGTTTGTGTGTGAGTGGGTGCGTATATACATGTCTGCTCATCTTTCCAGCCCTCCAGATTTATTATTTATTTTCTGTGTATGAGTGTTTTGTCTGCATGTATGTCTGTGTACCACATGCATGCCTGGTGCCTGCAGAGGCCAGAAGAGGAAGTCAGATTCTCTGGAACTGTAATTACAGATGGTTGTGAGCCACCATGTGATTGCTGGGAGTTGAACCCAGGCCCTCTGGAAGAGCAGCCAGTGCCCTTGACCACTGAGGTATCTCGCCAGCTCCCCAGATGGTTTTCTTAATGTGGGTTCTGAGGATCTGAGCTCGGGGCGTTGTGATTGTAAGACAGGCACTTTAATGACTGGGCTGGCTCCTGAGGCCTCTTCAGGGTTTTGTACTTGCACTGTTGTGTCTTTCCTTCAATTACCCCATTGTCATGGATGGCAGGGTCAATAATAACCTTTGATCTTGGTGCCCACTGTGTCTGTGACATGAACAGATGGCACGAGTCAGCCTCAGGTAATACTGTAGGTGATGTTTGGAATATTAGTACAGTTTGATAAAAGATACCAAAATGCAGTCTGATAAGTCCCAAGTCCTTCCTCCAGGCTTCGAGGGGATAGGATGGAATTCCTTCTCATTCCATGAATGTGAGAACCAAGTATCATAAAGGCATCTAATGATCAAAGTGTCACGTCACTGAGCTAAGTGACAGAGGTGGTGGAGACAGGCTTGGAGACTGTCTTTTTGGCTTGAGATATGGATCTGCCTATGCGGGAGTGTGGCTCCGGGACATGGTGCCTGAGCATGTGCTTGCATTCCCCTCAACAGCAACACGGAAGCGTTTACTGGAAGGCTGGAGCCAGCCGGACACTGTCAAGCCTGTCACCTTCTCTCCCATTACATCAGCAGCTGCAGGTGAAGATGTTTTGGGAATCTAATAAACTTCAATGCTGGGACCCCTGTGTCCTGTGAACCCCGTGGTCCAGGGCTTCTCTGCATTGTCATGAGTGTGAAGGCAGCATTGATAGTAGCTCAGTGAGCATGGTCTGTCTGCCCACCTGCCAGGCTGAAGTGTCCTTGGGGTTGTCCAGACCCCCTCATTAGTGAGCCCCTTCCTTCACAGAACAGCTGTGGGATCCTTGGTGATGCTGGGAGGTATGTTTCCAATTTCCCCTTTTTTTCTATGTTTCCAAAGCCTCAGCTAAACCTGCACTTTGATGCCATGTTGCCGGCTGCCTGTCTCCTGCAGCCTGACTTTCGTATGTGCCCTTACAGAGATTATCCAACCTCAGGCTTTCTGGAGATTTCATTGACCCCCACAGATGGCCTGTTCACAGGGTCTTCCTGATTGAGGGCAGTGTGATCCACCAGGCCCAGGGTTGCCTGTAGTCAGTGGTGGAATGGAAGCCTGAACCTCTACCATTCCTTCCAGGCCTGCTTCTCCGTTAGCGACTGCCCCGTGTGGATGGATTCCAGTACCACGGCCCAGTGTCGCCGGCTGGAGGCTGCTGTGGGTGGAGCCCGGGCTCTCAGCTGCCTCACGGGGTCACGGGCCTATGAGGTAGGCAACCTGCCAGGATGGGGCTCTGGGAGAATATAGTGGGCGCCCAGCCTCTGGGGCAGAGATGGTCTGAAGTGATGCTAGTGTCGGCCGTGAAGCTGGCTTGGAGCGTGCTAGCCCTGGGTTCTGGTTCAGGCACCCTTCTCTCTCTGTATTTAGCAGGCAATGTCCTTGTGTGCAGTCCAGCGACTGGGGTGTAAACACAGCTACACCCCTCACTGGAGCTCCGTGTGTGAGGGGGGAGTTGTGCAGACTCATGGTCTGTAACCTCATGAGAGCAAGCAGGACTTTGGTTTGAGGCAGTTTTGAAGCAGAAAGGAGAGAGAGACCAAAAGACCCTTAGTGTGGGGCCTCAAGGACTATAGCTATTGTTCCAGAGCTTGTTGTGATTGGCTGTCTTGGGTCATGTGACTGTGGAGGGCTACAGATGGCTCTGCAGGTCAGAGTGCATGCTGTGCTTGCAAAGGTTCAGTTCCCAGGGCATCAGGTGACTAACAGCTGCGTGTAACCCCCCCCCCTCCCAACACACACACTCTAGGGTATTGGACACCCTCCTCTGGCCACCATGGGCCTCCATGTGAACATGCACACACACACACACACACACACACACACACACACACACACACACACGCATACATTTTCTTTCCTTTTGTGAGGAAGGCACATACAAGCCTCCCTCATAAAGTAAAAATTAAGGCAAAAAAAAAAAATCATAAGCCCGGTTAGAACACTAGGAATGAGGTCTCCACAAGAAGATTACCTGAGCCCCACTTGTGGTTCTCAGGGAGCTGGGAAGAGCTGGCTAAGAGCACTGGCACCCTTGCAGAGACCTGGGTTCAGTTCCTACATGACAGCTCATACCCCCCTGTAGCTCCAGTTCCAGGGTGATCTGATGCTGTCTCCTGATCTCTGTAGGTTCCTGCTCACATGTGACACACACACAGTCACAGACGTGTACACATTAACAAAATGAGTAAGTAGCATTTTTAAGGACAGTTATCATGAGCCACCATGCGGGTGCTGGGAACTGAACCTGGGACCTTTGGAAGCACAGCCAGTACTCTTAACTGCTGAGCCACCTCTCCACCTCTCCAGCCCCTAAGGGCAGTCATTTTAACGGCTGTTCACAGAGCTGATGGATGCATAGGAAGCCTTACCAGGAAGCTGAAGTTACAGCCTTGCCCATGGGTGCAGGGGGATTGCTGACTGTCCAAGAGCTCATTACCAAGCACTCAGGACTCAAAGGCTAAAATACACCGTCTTTTACACAGTGTTCAGCTGGTAACAGGCATTTCTAGACACGGGGCTTGTCCAAAGCTGCTCGTGTTCTGTACCGTATCCAGACCCACTCTGCTGACCTCACTTTATGATTATTCTGTGTAGCATCCGGGTTCCTAAGAATCTGTGCTCTTTTACTCCCCCAGCGTTTTACGGGGAACCAGATAGCGAAGCTTTCCCAGCAGGACCCTGAGGCCTATTCGCACTGTGAGGTAAGTGATCCTTCACATTCCGTCAAGACCACAGTTGAACCCTTTTTGTCACACTCGCTTGAACGCAGGCATGTTTAACATGATAGGCATTGGTGAATGTCTTTGATGAGTAGGTGTTACGTGGTTCAGAGAGGGGCTGCTGAGGTGGCTCAGAGGGTTCAGTTGCTTGCCTCCAAGCCTGAAGAACCCGAGTGTCAGCCCCAGGACAGGGTGGAAGGAGAGAACTAACTTGTGAAAGTTGCTCCCTGACCTCCACACAAGTACTCTGGCATCTGTGCGCCTCTCTCATGAGATAAATAAACATAGTGAAGCATGTTAAAAATGAAGGCAACGATGTGTGTCTTTCCTAATGTTAGGTACACAAAGGGCACGGTGCTCCAGTTGTCTCCAGTAGTCAGCACAGCAGCCCGTAGCCAGGAGCCGCACCACACAGCCGAGGCCTGCTTTAGGCTCTCCTGTCTGGATTTGTGGAAACACTGGGATAGTTGCACAACCATGAAATTGACTAGGATGCTCTTCCTTTCTCCTTCCCTTCTTTAATTCCTTTCCTATTATTTTTTTTATTTGTGTGTATGGGTATATGTGTGGAGGTCAGAGGACGCCTCATGGGAGTTGGTTCTCTCCTTATGCCACACGGGACCCAGAGAGGGAACTCACCTTGTCTGTGTTGTCTTGTCTAGGTGGCAAGTGCCCTAACCTGCTGGCCCGCCTTCCTTAACTTTTCTCTCTTCCTTTTTCTTTCTGGCACCAGGGTTTAACTATGTAGTGCAGGCTAGCCTGGAGTGCTTGGCCCTCCTGCTCAGATTCCTGAGTGCTGGATTACAGGTGTGTCCCACCATGCTTAGCTTCTGGTTGTCGTTAACTTTCTTCTTGTGACAAAAGAACAGATAAAAGTAACTTAGAGAAAAGAGAGTTTTAGCTAGGCAGTAATGGCATGCTCCTTAATCCCAGCACTGGGGAGGGCGTGGGGCACCAGTCAAGGGTCAACAGAGAACGTCTTGGAGCCTCACTCCCACAACAAGCTACTCAGTGTGCTTTTTGTACATGTTTGGCAAATTCATAAGTTATAAATATTTTTAAATTATTTATTTACTTTTATTTTATATATATTAGTGTAAAGATGTCAGATCTCTGAAGTTACAGACAGTTGTGAGCTGCCATGTGGGTGCTGGGAATTGAACCCAGGTCCTTTGGAAGAGCAGGCAGTGCTCTTTACCACTGAGCCATCTCTCCAGCCCTATAAACATTTTTTTAAACTTATTTTACCCTTTTTTTTTTTTTTTTTTTTTTGAGACAGGGTCTCATGTAGCCCAGGTTGTTCTCAAACTCTCTGTGAAGCTGAGGATGACCTCGAACTCCTGGCCCTCCTATCTCTACCTCCCAAGAGCTAGAGTAATGAGTGTGCATTGCCACACCCACCATTTGGTGTCTTGTTTTGATTATGGGTTGTTGTTGTTTTGGTTTTTTTGAGACAGGGTTTCTCTGTATAGCCTTGCCTGTCCTGGACTCACTTTGTAGACCAGGCTGGTCTTGAACTCACAGAGATCTGCCTGCCTCTGCCTCCCCGAGTTCTGGGATTACAGGTGTGCGCCACCACACCAGGCTTTGATTATGGTTTTTAAGACAGGGTTTTGCTGTGTCACCCAGTCTAGCTTGGAACTCACTCTGCAGACCAGTTGGCATCAAACCCCTCAGGGGCTGAGATTACGGGACTATACCACCACACCTGACTGCAAGTTATTACTTAATGATCCCAGGTTTCCAGTTACTCTGCAGCGTCAGCCGCTGAGGAGTGAAAGCACTCCTTAAACCATGTGTGTGGGATGAGTGTAAGTCCCAGTGTGGCTGGAGGTGTGGCTCTCCCCTGAGTCCAGGGGCCCTGGGCTTTAGAGACCCCCAGGCTGATTTTCAGTGCCTCAGTGATTCTCTTGGGGGCCAGGTAGGGTGTTGGAGCTCCTTGGAGGGGAGGGGCAGACATTGTAGCCCTGAGAGCCTTGGCTCATTTCGTGTCTGTGGCCACATAACTGCTTCCTGTGACTGAATGTCACTAAATGTGGAGTGAAGAATTGATGGCGTCTGAATGGATTCCAGATGGAGAACCAGTCTCCCTAAGGCATGGTCACAGGGCCTTGGCTTTCCCTGTCCTCTGTCATGGTGGTTTCAGTGCTTTAAACTAGCACTGCTCAGAACTCGGGCTGCTTCTGACTGGGTCTCCAGCACTACCTGCTGAAGTTTCAGCTTCCATTCTCTACAGATCATGGTGTGTGTGCCTGTGTGTGTGTACCTGGTGTGTATGTGCTTATGTGTGTGTGCCTGTGTGTATATGAGCTTGTGTGTGTCTGTGGTGCTCAGTAGCTTACGGTGTGTGGAAGTGAGTCCTCTCTCACCCTACTTCCTTCTTTTCCAGAGAATTTCCTTGGTCAGTAGCTTTGCTGCCTCGCTGTTCCTGGGTGGATACTCGCCCATCGACTACAGTGATGGTAAGCCTGGTAATACGCTGAGCGACCATGGGGACTGCAGGGCCTCATGGCATGGCTGGGTAGCGGTCCTGGCAGCTCTCATCAAAGATGGACTGGGTGGTCCTGGCTCAAGAGCACTCACAAGGTAGCAGGCCACCTGGCAGCCATGGCTGCAGGTGTCTACAGGCTTCGCTGGAACTGGGATCTACTTCAGAATCTTGTATATGACCTCTGTCGGGAGGCTTCTGAAGTCCCTCTGTAAGGTTGTTGATGACAGTGCAGGGAAGGAGGAAGAGCAGGGAGGGAGGAGGGGCCTGCAGGGAGGGAGGGGAAGAGGAGGCCTGCAGGAAGGAAGAGAGGAGAAGGAAGGAGAAGGCCCCCTAGGGAAGGTGTTCCTTGCTGATCTTGGAAGTGACAGTCCTTCCAGTTTCATCCTTCTGATCATGGGGACCAATCTGGGTCAGGGTTAGGGTCACCTCTCAAGGACTGAGTACAGAGGCAAGGGTCATTAGGGGCCATCTTGGAACCTGGCTTCCACAAGCCATTTACTGTTTTGTTCATAGTTGGCACACTTATGAATTGCATTTATTTGTTTATTTGTTATTCAGCCTAGTTTTATCTGTGAGACATAGCCTCTTGTAGCCCAGGCTGGCTTTAAACTTACAGTGAAGCTGTAGATGACCTTGAACTCTGACCTTCTTGCCTCTGCCTTCTAATTTCCAGGGTAACATCGTCAGCATTTTGGATTTTGTTTTGTTTTAGGGTTTTGAAATATAGATTCACTTTATTTAAGTGTGTGTGTGTGTGTGTGTGTGTGTGTGTGTACCTGTGTCAGGTGTGGGTGGAGGATGGAGGCACTGGACTCTTCTGGAGCTAGGGGAGGCAGTGAGCCACCTGATGTGGGTCCTGGGGACCAAAGTTGAGTCCCCTACACGAGTCGTGCATGCTTCTAATCAGGGAGCCATCGGTTACTCTCTGGGTTTAGTTTTTGGGGACAGGGTTTTGATGGGTGCCCCAGGCTAGTCTTGAACTCATTAGATAGCCCAGGTTGGCTTCAAACTCCTCCTGCCTCTGCTTCTTGAGGTGCTTTGGTTATAAATGTATGCCACCATGCCGCACTCAGAACTGTGAACTTTTGGCATCAATACTCTGATGAAACAGAAGTGATGTCACCTGGGAGTAAGTTGCTGGAAGAACTCACAGGTGAATGGGAGTGTTTTAGTCCATTTCCTGTTGGTATAATGAAGACACCTGGGACCTGGTGATCTATAAAGAGAAGTTTGTTTGGGGGCTGGGATGTAGCTCAGCTAGTACAGTGCTTGCCTAGAATGTGCGAAGCTCTGGGCTGTTCCTGTATCATCCTAAGTAACTGGGTGTCTTGGTGTGTGCCTGCTATCCCAGCCTTGGGGGTTGGAGGGAGGATGACCCGAAGTCCCAGGTCACGCTCAGCTACATAACAAGTCAGGGTCAGCCTGGGAAATGAGACCCTGTCTCAAGGAGGAAAACAAACAGATTTTTGACTCACAGGCGCTTGAACCTGTTTGGCAGCTAGTGAGGCCTCCTCATATGATGTGTGGACAGCAAGTGTGCAGCTCACATCTCTATCTGGAGAGATGGCTCAGCAGTTAAGAGCGTGTGCCTGTCTTGCAGAGGACCCAAGTGCAGTTCCCAGCACCCATGACCTGTGGATCACAACCACTAGGACCACCAACTCCAGGAGACCCAACAGCCTCTTCTGGGCTTTCTGGGTGCCTGCCGCCATGTGCACAACCACAGTCAGACGCAGTCACAGTATTAAAAACAACAAATAATAAATTATTTATATAAACAAAAGTAATGAATCTTAAAATATAAAAACTACCATCACAAGGACCCCACCTTACATGCCTTTTCCTGGAAGAGGCCATGAGCTCGGGACACCTGAGGGCTGTCCCCTATCAGGGCAGCCCCGGGACACAGGGAGCGATTTCTGATTGCCGTGGTGTGGGTCAGTTCTTGTCTCGGGCCTCAGACAGCAGGTTTTCAGGCCCCCTGTGTGGGGGGAGGGGGTGACAGGGTGTATGGACATGGAACCTGCCGCTTTTGCATTCGGCTCTTAAGCGTGCCACCTTCCTTCTGTGATGAGACAGGGGACCTGGGCTCAGTTTCCCATGCCCCCATGGCAGCTTAGACCATCTGAAATGCCAGCTTCTGGTGCCTGCGGCACTCTCTCTGGCCCCCACCACTTCCTATATGTGCTGTAGGCACTCATTTACATAAAAACAGATAAATCTTCTTGGTAAAACAAACAAAGAGGCCCAGCCACACATTTGTACTAGAGAATTCACTTTCTCTGCCGGTTTTGCCCATCTCCACCAAGCTCCCTTCCCCCACACCTGTTCTTGGTTTTGTTTCCTTCCGTCCATCCTTAGGTTCTGGAATGAACTTGTTACAGATCCAGGAAAAAGTCTGGTCCCAAGCTTGCCTTGCCGCCTGTGCCCCCCATCTGGAGGAAAAGCTCGGCTCACCCGTCCCTTCGTGCTCGGTTGTGGTAAGTCCTCTTTCCACCAGTGACTCCATTGTGGATGCCGGCTCTGCTGATGGAGCCTAGAGCCGTGCACACACTCATGCATACACATGCATACACACATGCGCACACACACACACATACACACACATTCGTGTTTTCACGTAATCCTAAACTCAGCATTGGTCAGGATATCTTAATATCTGGGTAAAGAACTTGAACATAGCAGCTCTCAGGTGCTTGGCTAGATTCCCAAACTATCTGAGGATTTCTGGGTCCTGCACACCTAGGGGTTAAACTACACAGAGTCGTGGAATTCCGCTCTGGCATGGAAGCTGGCAGCAGGCAGCTTTGGAAACAGAAATAGGAAGGATCTGACAGAGTTCAGGCCTGGGGTCACACTGGCTAAGACTGGGCATTGGCTCACACCGACACTAAAGCTGGCGCTGCTCAGACCTGCCTACTTACTGTTTACTGCTGTGTTTTGAGGCAGTGTTTCCGTATAGCCCTAGCTGGCCTGGAACTTGTTATGTAGTCCAGGCTGGCCTCGAACTCAAAGAGATCCACGTTCCTCTGCCTCCCAGGGCTGAGATGCAAGGCGCGCGCACCACCACAGCTAGCTCGGCCTGCCTCTGTTTAACCGGTGTCCTCATCTGGGGATAACACGGTTTCTGTATACAGAGACCCTTGTGCATATGACATGAGCTGCAGGGGCTTGAACGGGCTTCAGATAGTGGTTAAGGACATTTGACCATGAATGTAGTGCCACCCGTTTGGAATGGCTGCGGGCTGTGCACACCCAGTTGTGTTCTGGTTGCCTGGTCCTGTTCTTGGCCACACTGCTTAAAGAGGGTTCATCTTAAAGCAGCCAAGGGGGACTTAGCTGGTCTTATCTCTTCCCACTGTGTGGGGTCCACATGTGGACAGAGTGGATACCAAGTTACCTTGCTGAGTAGCAAATGTTACAGCACAAATTGTTTTGCTCTACACTGGGGCATTTGTAACATGCCATGTTCATTAAGAGTTACACTTCAGAAAAGCAGGGGGGTGGGGTGGCACATGCTTGTAACCCCAGCACTAGGGGAGGCAGAGGCAGGCAGATCTCCGAGTTCGAGGCCAGCCTGGTCTACAGGGTGAGTTCCAGAACAGCCAGAGCCATGCAAAGAAGAACCAAAAAGTTAAGCGTAGTTATCTGTAAGATATCAGGGTCACTAGGTCTGTATACACAGCCCTTGGGATGTTACGACCCTCCGTGGCCTTTTGAATTGTGTGAAATTGAGAGCAAGACTTTGTCTAAGACACAGGCGTTGCTTACCTAACACAAGGAGCCTTCTCAGAGGCAAGGGTTGGAGGAACAGGAAAGGACCAGTTCTGAAAAATGCATTTTCACTTACTGACAATGCATCCAATGATGATGAAGACTCACCATGGCTTCATGCAGGTCTCGGCCCTGCTGGAAGCAAACTTTTATGCTGGGGCTTCCCTGACTTTGTGCCCCATGAGTGTGGAGGGCGTCTGAGAGAGCGTGGGAGCCTGTGACCGCTTCCCGCTTTTCCCCAGGACAACCCCAGCTTTTAGGGGCTCCTCTGTGGCTTCTCCCTGGTTGTCTTTGGGGTGCCCAGTGGCACTCTTGGGTTCCTGCCTTCTTGTTTTCTTTAGTGTCCTAGGTCACCCCTCCAAGTTACAGCCCCGCCACACTCTGGCTCCCGAGGTCAGGACGCATTCTCCCAGGGGTTGGCTTGTTCTGATGGAAATCCAGAACACAGCTGGCTAGAAAAGATTCTTCCCTTTTAGGAGGGGGAAAATCCTTTAAATGTGTGTTTCTTTAAGGCAATCTTATTGGCCTATGTGGCCTGTGACTATATAGTCCATAGTGGCCATCCTCCTGTCTCAGCTTCCTGAGTGTTGGGATTTTATAGGCATCAACCACCATGCCCTGTCCGTCCGTCCTTCCTTCCTTCCTTCCTTCCTTCCTTCCTTCCTTCCTTCCTTCCTTCCTTCCTTCCTTCCTTCCTTTTTACTTTCTTTTTCTTTTTTTCAAAACAAGGTCTTTCTGTGTGGCCCTAGCTGTTTTGGAACTCTGTAGACCAGGCTGGCCTCAAACTCAGAGATGTGCCTACCTCTGCCTCCCAAGTGCTGAGACTAAAGGTGTGCGTCACTGCCACCACCACTGCCCCCCCGCCCCCCGGCTTGCCCTGCCCTTTCTAAACTCTTTCCAAAGAATATTTATCTTTTGGGGGAGAGATGGGCTCTACTCTTGTTTTAAAGGGGCCTCGGCTCCTTAATGGGTCACCTGCCATTTTGATTCATTTTCATTACTACTATTATTATTATTATTATTATTATTGGTTTCTCATGACAGGGTTTTTCTGTGTAGCCCTGGATGTCTTGAACTCAGTCTGTAGACCAGGCTGGTCTTAAACCCACCCTTAAACCCACCGAGATATCCCTGCTGCTACCTCCCAAGTGCTGGGGTCAACGGCGTGAGCCACCAGAGCCCGGCTGTTATTATTATTAATTATTATTATTGTTATTATTATTATTTTGAGACAGAGTGTCTGGTTGTCCAGGCTGCCTAGAACTTGCTGGGTAGCCAAGGATGAACTTAAACTCCTGTCCCCTCCACCTCTGTGTCGTGAGTGATAACATTACGTGTGTACCGCCATGCCTGGGTTAAATGCTTTTTTAGATTTGTTTATTTTGTGTGTAGGAGTGGTTCCCTACACATGTGTGTGTACATGTGCATGCAGTGCCCCGCAGAGTTCAGAAGAGGACATCGGATTCCCGGAGCTGGAGTTTCGGATGGTTGTGAGCCAGCATGTGGGTGCTGGGAACTGAACCCGGGTCCCCTGCTGCAGCTGCAGGTGCCTTCTGCTGCTGAGCCGCCTCTCAAGCCCTTCCCACGCCTGGGGTTCCCTGGTGCTGGGGATCAAATCCACTGTTTTGTGCATGCTAGTTGAGCGGTGTGCCAACTGAGCTGCACCCCTAGTCTACCCCCATTTTCTTAAGACAGTCTCATGTAGCCCGGGCTGGCCTTGAACTTGCTTCATAGCCCAGGCTAACCCTGAGGTTAGTTTTCTTTAGAACATTGTTCTGTGTACTTGTCTATCTGGTTATTGTTAGCCCAGTTGCTGGAGTAATAAAAGAGTAAGGCATGCCCTGTATCTCTGTGAGCTTTCTTACTAACATCCTGTTACTTTTTTCTTCAACATTGTATCCGGAATTTGGTGTTCACAAAGTAGGTACAAGTGGAAGCTTGCTATGTTCTAGCTCTCCTGAGTTTATCAAACTCAGGTGGTCCTCCAGGTGACCGCAGGCCTGTGGTTCTAACCCTGGACTGGGCTCCACCTGCGGAAGGATGAGGATGTCCAGGCTCTGCCTCAGATGCCTGCAGCAGCCTCATCGCCCGAGATGTGGAGGATCCCTCAGCTCCAGTCATCTGGAGCCAGGAGTCTCCTGGGTTTCGGGGAGCTGAACAGGCTGTGGCTACCCACACAGAACAGACATGCACTTCCTCCCCAGGGAACCATTTCTTCCTACTATGTCCAGCGCTACGGATTCTCTCCAGGATGCCAAGTGGTGGCCTTCACTGGGGACAACCCAGGTACGTATCTCAGGAGAAGTTACTCTGGAAGAGGACCAGCAGGGTCGCCTGACTTCCTTCCTTCCTTTTCCGTGTGTGCGTGCGTGCGTGCATGTGTGTGCATGTGTGTGTGTGTACATATACATATTACATAAACACACATACACATTGAGATGGGGTCTTTCTCTGGAAGCCTAGAGCTTACTGTGTAGCCCAGGCTGGCCCAGATGCTCATCAGTCATCGCTGTGCCCAGCCTCCTGGGCACAGGGAGCACAGAGGTGAACCACCACACCTGATTCTCACTGGTGCACTTGTGTGCGCAGACGCAGGGCAGAGCAGAGGCCAACCTTAGCCATCTGTCGTTTCTCACACGCTGCCTACCTTTCTGCTTTTAAGCTGGGTTTTTCACGAACCGGGAAGTCCCAGGTGGACTGTACCGGCTGTTTGTAGAGCCCCAGCGATCCATTGGCCCCCATCTCCCCAACACCGGGGTTTTAAGCGGGTGACAGCATGCCCAGTGTACCCAGCATGCCCAGCGTGTCCAGCTTATTGATGAAGCCTTCTTCTGTGGGTCTTTCCTTTCCCTCTGAATTATAGCTCTTTGTATCAACCTCGGCCTGACCCCACTACCCTCAAAGGCTGCTCCGGCATGGGCTCAGGCCTGTGCTGCCTTGGTGAAGGTTAATGGGCAGAAAGAAGGTGGTTCTCTCCTCACCTCCATCCCCTTCTCTTCCAGCTTCTACCTCAGCCCTCCAGCCCTTCCCTCAGGACACTGTTCATCTCTGTACGCTTGGCTTTGCTTCTTGTGGCACCCTCTACCTTGCCTTTGCTCCTTTAGGGCCTCTCAGGGCCTCTCTGTGGTCCCTGGAGAAAGACCAGCTGAGTCACACTGAGGAGTATGCTGTGCGCTGTACTCCAGCCGCACAGGGAGAGCCACCCTTTGCCTAACGAACCTTCAAAGGACCGTTGGCATTGAAGGGGCTCTACTTGTCGACTTCCTCCTGCGCATTCATGAGCCTTCACCCTCTGGTCAACTTGCTGTGCTGGTGTCCAGGCTTCAGCTGCCCTGCCCTGCTGCCGCCTCCTCTGGAGGGAGCTTCACCTGGTCTCCCATGCTTGGGCATGCGCACATCCTGGAAGCACGCCCCACGGGCAGTTCAAGGGTGTCTGTTTCTCTTCCATTTCTCCTCAGTTCTGTTCATTCCATCAACATTTAGGTGGCACCAGCTATGTGCCAGGTTTTCTTCTGTGGTGTGGGCACTGAGGGCTGAGAAGGGTCGCTGCTGGGAGCCCTGTGTCTGGGTCACTTGCCATGACCTCCACTTTTCCTTGGTTCTCTGGCCTTCTTAGAGTTCCTGATAGTGGTGGCAGTTTGTATTCCTGAGGGAGGAGCCATCAGGGGCCTTGGCTGGAGGGATCTGTCCTTTGACCCCTTTCCCCTTTTCGGTTCCTTGAGCTTTCAGCTTGCTGACCTGTGGGCTAAGGTGGAAGGTGGCACCTGTGCCACTGTCGAGGTGTCACTACAGCTTGCTCTGTGGGTCCCGAGTGACTCCTGCTAACCACACGTTTCCCTCCCACTCTCAGCGTCCCTGGCAGGCATGAGGCTGGAGGAAGGTGACATTGCGGTAAGGTGACTTCTCACGCCTACAGACTTCCTGTCCTGGGGACCAGGATGCTGAGTGTCAGCTGTATGTCTGCTGCCTCTAACGTGGGCGGCCCACTGTCTTCCCTCAGGAGGTCATTGCCCTTCGCTGCTGTCAGGCATGACCCCTGCCTGCTTGACAGTGACTAGTCTGCTGGGCATAGCGGCAGAGGGTTGGACAGGGGCCAGGGTACTGTGAGCTCCCAGGTGCGTGGGAAGATTTAATCTTTGGCTTGCTGCATCTGGCAAGGAAGCCATTTGGTAAACTGTTATTTTTGATGATTCTGTGTTAAGTTCTAGAAAGTCAGTAATGGTGTCCCTGAGAGCTTGAGTCTGGGTAACAGACCCTTGACCCGCCTGGTGTGGCGAGAGTAACAAAATAAGGGAGGGGGCCTCTGAGGAGGTGGGGGTTGTTGCCTGCAGTGTGGGGAGTGATGTGATTGGTGACGGGGTGGGGACAGGGAGACTACAGAGGGCATTGCTGACAGAGGGAGCATTTGTAGTCAAGCCCTAGACACCTCGCCCTCTGCTTGGCTCTTCTCAGGTCAGCCTGGGCACCAGCGACACCCTGTTTCTCTGGCTCCGGGAGCCCATGCCTGCCCTGGAAGGTCACATCTTCTGCAACCCGGTGGACGTGCAGCACTACATGGCCCTGCTGTGGTAATCCTGCAATCTCTGCGTTGGGGAGAGGTGGTGCAGATAGATCTGCCACAACCAGACTCCCCAAGCCATTTCTACTAAAGTGCTCCTGGGTAGCCACGACCGCAGGGGCATGTGACTTCCCACCTTGACAGCAGAACCCTCTGGGAAAGAGCCTGAGACCTAGCATCCCCCAAAGCTGGCCACAAACTCTGCCTCCAACGCTGTCCCGTGTGCCACTGGTTTGGCAAGGAAGGCATTTCCTTCATGGTGCTCTTGACGTATCTAAGTGTCCCCTCAGCAAATGGTCTGGGGAGAGCTTGCTTCCTGACAGTTCTGTGTGTGGTGTGTCCTGACCACAGGCCTTTGGTTCCTGGTGGAGACTCCCTGGCTTAGAAGGCTTTTGAGCTGTAAGCATCAAGAACCATTGGAGAAAATTCAGGTCTGGATGGGCTGGTACCCAGCCCCGTTGGAGAGCTGATCCAAAGTATCAGCTAAATGGGCTCTAGTGTGGCAGCCTCCAGCATAAACAGATCCTAAGATAAGCATGGGTCCAGCACCTCCCAGGATGTCCACAGAACCCCAGGAGAGCCTCAGATACTTGAAATTCTGGTCGCTGTGCCCTGCCCATGGGCTGTGCCATGCCCATAGCCTGACCTGGAGACCCTCTACCTGGGACTCTTCCAACATCCCTGGGTCTATTGCAGGAGTAAAGTTTAGTGGTAGAATCCTTGCCTGGCATGGGAGGCACCTGGGTTCCGACCTTAACAACAGAAAACCCGGGAGCCCAGAACTCATATTGCGTGTGTTTCTGCAGCTTTAAAAATGGCTCCCTCATGAGAGAGAAGATCCGAGATGAATCTGCTTCCTGTTCCTGGAACAAGTTCTCTAAGGCCCTGCAGTCCACAGAGATAGGGAACAAGGGAAACTTGGGTAAGCCGGGCCTGTGGACAGGGGCAGCGAGGCTTGGGACACCATGAGCTGGAGGTGTGGAGTGGTTGGGGGGATGTCCTTTCTGTCTACATGAGCTGGTGTGGGGCCCCAGGTTCTGAGGGTGGGTGGGGTCACAAGGCTACCTTGGCTGTTTTTCCATGAACCTCGAGTGAAAACTCAGACTGGTTATGGATCTTCTGCCCCTTCAAAGCCCCTGGTGGCAGCATCAGACATGGCTGTCCCAGGATCCACTGCGCCCTGCTGCTTCTCAGTAGCAGCTTTTTGCCCCAGACACAGTAGTACCAGGCCACATCCTGAGGGAGGAAGGGGCTTGTCTCCTTGAGCATACCTCACTTGGCGCTCATGGTAGTGAGGCAGCTGTTTCATCAACTGAGCTGCCGAGTGTAAATAAGAGTTGCCTCAGAACAGCCCAGGCTTCCCAGTCCCCTCTGTCCTGTGGGAGAGAACGGACTGAGGAGGTCACTGGGCTCCTCTAGGGGATGGGAGGAGGCCTGCAGCCCAGATGACCTAACTTGTTTTGTCCTTCTTGAAGCCTTTTGAGAAACTGTTCTTTGCTCTGGGGCACTGACAGTTAATCCTTTCCTGGTTTTGCTTCAGGTTTTTATTTTGATGTAATGGAGATCACCCCTGAAATTATCGGGCGTCATAGGTTTAATGCAGAAAACATTGAGGTACTTACGTCTTTTTTGTGCATCTTTTTTGTATGGTTTGTGTGCATGTTTGCGTGTGTGTTGCTGGTACACGTGCATGTAGCAGCTCAGGTTTGACACTGGGGGTCTTTCTGGGTTGTTCATCCACCTTTTTCACAGGGACAGACTCTCTCAATCAAACCCAGAGCTTGCTCAGGGCATCCTCCGATGGACTTGCAGACAAGCTGCCACGCCCACCGGGCATTCAGCCTGCACCATGTTTCTGGGGCTGGAGGATGATCGTGGCCCCAGTGGATGTTGGGGGGACTTCTGTGGGACACTGTAGTCACTGGAATAGTCAGGTGGACATAGGTTAGGTGGTGTAAACATTACACATGCAGTGGAATGCGTTGGATACGATATAGAAAGTTTGCTGGGCATGGTGGCACACGCCTTTAATCCTAGCCCTTGGGAGGCTGAGTCAGGCAGATCTCTGAGTGTTCCAGGACAGCAGGCTATGTAGAGAGTTCTTGTCTCAAATAAACAAAAAGCACAGAAAATTCATCCTGGTTCTCATATTGGGGTGGAGTTCAGTTTCTGTTTATATAGAAGAGATTCACACGACTGTTCTCATACACAGTCCTAAGCTTATGAAGGAGGAAGTAGGGTTCTTCATTCATTCATTCATTCATCCACTCAATAGATATGTCTTATTTTCCAGATTTACTTATTTTATGTGTGTAAGTGTTATCGTGCATGGATGTATTTGGATCACATGTGTACCTGGTGACCTCAGAGGCCAAAAGAGGACATTGGAGCCTCTGGAACTGGAATTATAGATAGTTGTGAGCTGCCATGTGGGTCCTGGGAATTGATCCCCAGTCCTCTGCAACACCGGTCAGAGGTTTACTTCCTGGTCGGAGGGGCTGGCCCCAGTCTGGCGGTGACTGCCGTCAGAGCTGTCTTCATGTTCCACAGTCCTTACCATGGATGCTCAGGATAAGGTCATGGCTCTCACTTATCAACCATCTACTCTGCGTTCTAAGCCCTGTCAACCCAGTTTGGTAGTGGTGACCTTAATAAAAACAGTGTGAGGAAAAAGAACAGGGCAGGAAGATCCACAGGATAGTCAAGGTCAGAGCGGAAATGTTAATGTCAGAACCTGAACCCTTAGCTGCCTGAGACCGCACTGTAATGTCACTGAATCCTCAGAGTGGCACACCGGTGAGGCGTGAGCCATGCCTGTGAGAGTCGTGTCTGTATGAAGGTGCAACAGGTGAAATTGTTGGTTCACATAGGATCTCTCTCTCTCTCACACACACACACACACACACATGTACATGCACGCACAGACACACATGGACACTCAGAGGCCGTCACACAGTGCCTGTTTTCTGGAGACAGGTCTCTGCGTTCCCGGGGGATGTGGAGATTCGAGCACTGATTGAAGGACAGTTCCTGGCCAAGAGGATTCATGCTGAAGGCCTGGGCTACCGAGTCAGTAAGTGAGCGGCCAGCTGGGTGTTCTGGGGAAGGGGCAGGGACAGAGGTTCAGAGACGGTGTCTGTTAAGGATCTCACGTCACGGGGTGCTGTGGGGAGGAGGTGGGTGGACTTGGTCCTGAGAAAGTGATTCAGGTGCCTGTGAGCAGGTTAGGAGCAGAGCCGAGCGGCCTGGTTCTCAGCTCTGCCGCTGCTTACCTGAGCTCTAGGTCATGAACTGGAGCCATCGGGAGAGGTCTTCCTGTGTCTGCGGCCATGTCTGGGGACATGGACATGCGGGTGGGAGGGCTGTGTTCCCGGGCCGTGACTGGGCCTCTCAGCTTGATCGGAAAGAGTGGTCATGCGGTACTGCCATGGACGCTCGCAGGACTGATTGGAGAGGGCAGACCCTGGGCTCGGGGAAGCAGATGACAGGAGGAAGGAGGGCTAAGAACTGAGCTGCTGAGCAAGCAGGTCCAGAGCTCTGCGTCTCCACCCGCACATGGACCGGAGCTGCTCTAGGGGCCTTCAAGAAGCCTGGACGAGAGAACTCGTGTCCAGGTGAAGCACTGTTGTGTGGTGCTGTTTGTCCTTTATCCCAGCACGAGGGAGGTGGGAGCAGGCGGATCTCTGTGCGCTTGAGGCCAGCCTGGTCTACAGAGTGAGTTCCAGGACAGCCAAAGCTACACAGAGAAACCCTGTCTTGAAAAACAAAACCAAGCAAATCCTAAGGACACAAAGACACATACCCAAGTGACTTAATTGCTGAACCATCTCTCAGCAGATTCTTTTTAATTTATTATTATTTTTTTATTTTTAAAATTTCACTTTATATGCTGGGTGCTGGTGGTGCACACCTTTAATCCCAGCACTCTGGAGGCAGAGGCAGGTGAATCTCTGTGAGTTCGAGGCCAGCCTGGTCTACAGAGTGAGGTCCAGGACAGCCAGGGAAACCCTGTCTTGAAAAACCAAGAAGAAAAAAAAATTCATTTTATATGTATGGATGTTTTAACTGCAAAGATGTCTATGTCTCATGTGCCTGGTGCCTGCAGAGCCAAAGGAAGTCATTGAAGGCCCTGGAACTGGAGTTAGAGACAGCTGTCAGCTGCCACGCAGGCACTGGGAATTGAACTCGGGACCTCTGGAAGTACTCTTAACCTCTGAGCCCGCTCTCCAGCCTCTCCAGCCCCTCTTCCTTTTTTTTTTTTTTTTTTTTTTTTTTTCATAATTCAATGGAACCCAGGACCTCATGCCTGCTAGGCAAGTACTCTGCCATTGAGCTATGTCTCCAGCTCTCAAGCAGGATCTCTGAAGTACACATGCCTACTACCTACATGGGAGAGTGCGTGTCTAGGCTGCTGGGTGGACTGGCCAGCTCAGGTTTTGTTCTTGGCCTGTCATCATCATGTTTAGTTTTAATAGTGTGTAAGAATAAAAAGGGCATTTCAAGAATAGACACACATTCATAAGTAAACAATTATATGTGAAATAGAATGTTGTTTGTTGGTCTGCATTGGGCATGGTGGCTCATGCTTGTCGTCCTAGTACTGGAGAAGTGAGCTCAGGTAAATCAAGAGTTCTAGGTCCTCCACTACTACATAGAGAGTGTGGGGCTAGCCCAGACTAGATGAAGTCCTAGGTCAGTCCCTGTCAAGGGTGGTAGATGCCTGCCACACTTACAGGAGACCGGAGTTCAGTTCCTACCAAGTGTAACTCCAGGTCCAGGAGACCCAGCACCCTCTTCTGGCCTCCACAGCCTTGCATATGTACATTCACCTACTCAGACCTGTGCACATGAAATGAAATAAATCTTTTAAAGGGCAAGATAATGGTGATGATGATGATGATAATCACCCCCAGTCATCCTCCTCATCACCCCACCAAAGTGTAAGGTTTGGATAGGAGGCCCTTATCACTTCAAGTAAATTACTTATAGAATTGGTTTGTTGGGAGATGTTTTTTCCTTTTTTTGGGGGGGCAGAGGGGTGAAGCAAAGTGGCATGGTGGTGGTGGACTCAGGGCCTTGCTGGGCAAGCATCCTGCCAACTGAGCTACAAACCCGAACCCCAAGTTCTTTTTAAAATGTTTTTCTGGTAAAGACAAAGGCAGAGGGACTGTAGATTCCCAGGCAAATTATATGTGAGGAGCCTTGCGTGGGACAAGCCAAGCTTGGTGTCTCTCCATAGGCGTGGAAGACCCACCAGAAACCATCCACGGCTGAAGGACGTCCTTTCTGCCTTGGGAGAATTGCTACAACCATTTCTTTTCTCTTTCACCTTCTGTCTTACAGTGCCCAAGTCAAAGATTCTGGCTACGGGAGGAGCATCTCACAATAAGGACATCCTGCAGGTACGTGTGGTGGCCTGCACCACCCGCCACTTCCTGCGCATCTGGGAGCGAGCTGTCTTCCTCCTCCCCCTTATTTCCCGGAACAGAGTCTCTCACTGACCCCGAGGCTCACAGGTTTGACTAGGATGGCTGGCCAGCCAGCCCCAGGGACTTGATTCGCCAGGGCTGGGGTTACAGGCATGTGCTGCACATGGATTCTAGGGAATTAAAGTCAGGTCCTTGGGCACATATAGCACCTATAGCTGAAGGAGCCATCTTCTCAGCTCTCCATCATGTCTCTTGTTGCACTCGAGGTCCTGGGTTTGATTCCCAGCACTGAAAGTAAGAAAATAAATAAATGTAGTTAGGGTTTATATTGCTGTGATAAAACACAGTGAGCAAAAGCATCTTGGAGAGAAAAGGGTTATTTCTCCTGAAGGTTCTAAGTCCATCCCTGAGGGATGTGAGGGTGGGGAACAGTGCGGGACCCTGTGGACGGGAGCTACTTACTGGCTTACTTATGGCTTGCTCAGCCTGCTTTCTTACAGAACCTAGGAGTACCTGCCCAGGAGCGGCCCTAACCATGTCAACTACCAATTAAGAAGATGCCCCTTGTCTACAGGCTAATTTTATGGAGGCATTTTCTCAACCATGTTTCCCTCTTTTCAGATAACTCTAGCTTGTGCCAAGTTGACAAAACAAAACAAAACCCCAGGACATAAATAGCTAAAAGGCAGGGCATGGCTCAGTTGGTAAAGTGTTTGCCATGTCAACATGAGGGCCTGAGTTCAGATTACTAATAAAAATTTAAGTCTTGGTGGTCCATGGGGAAGTGGGACAAGAGTGTTGCAGCTCTGAGGAGAAGTGTCTGGGCAGTTGGGAACCAAGGAATGCCACAAAGTCACGTTATCTAACAAACCTCACACAAGGGACTTCTGGGAAGGACACCAGAGGTGTCGTCTGCCAGAGCAAGAGGCAGGCTTATATAGGGTTTCTTGCTGGTGGGGTGGAGCTTTCTGGGGTGCCTCAGGATTGGAAGGATTTTTTTTGCCCTGATTTTGGAGCAAGCTCAGGGATTGGTGGGATTCTGTGGCCTGATCTTGTGTTTGGTGTTTTTTTTTTTGTTTGTTTGTTTGTTTGTTTTGTAAACTGGGACCAGCGACTCTCCCTACTTGAGGGCCTGGGAGCAGCTGTTACTGCCATTAGAGAAGTCTGGGCAGCGGAGCCTCGCTGCTTGCAAACCTGGAGTTCCTTACAGAGGGTCTCTAGGAGTGCTGGCCAGCCACTCTAGCCGTTTGTGAGCTGGAGGCCAAATTAAAGATTCTCAAACAGTAAGGTGATGTGATTGAAGAAGACCCCAGATGACCTCTTACCTCCACACGTACCTGCACACATGAGGATTCCCCCCCCCCCACACACACAAACACACACAAAAGTACAGGGGGCTGGATGTGTTGGTGCAAACTTTTAATCTCAGCACTTGGGAGGCAGCAGCAGGTGGATCTGTGGGCCAGCCTGGCCTAAATAATGTGACACCGGCCAGGACTATATAGTATGAAAAAGCACAGGGCATGGCGGTGCTGCCTGTAGTCCCTGCACTCAGGAGGCTGAAGCAAGAAGATGATGGAAATTTCAGCTACACAGGAAATTTCAGGCTGGCTAGAGCTCTGTCATAGGATCTCGTCTTTTAAAGGTCCAGAGACAGCCTGGAGACTGTAGCCCTTCCTGGGATCTTCCTCCAGGTCATCCAGTCCCATCACCAGCTCCACGTGGCTGACCATCCTTAAGGCAGCTGTGGTTGAATGGAAGGCGTTAGAAGACACGAGGAAAGAGAGCCTAGAAGGCTCTAAATCCTCTCTCTGAGTGACAACTCACCCACTCCAGCTTCTGTGTCCCCCAGGTGCTTGCAGATGTTTTTGGGGTCCCTGTGTATGTCATAGACACCACCAGTTCGGCCTGCGTGGGCTCCGCATACCGAGCTTTTCATGGTAGGTAAATGTCTCTGGAAGTGTTTAGGCAACACTTTGCTGAGAAGAGTGGGAAAAGGAGAGGATGCATTCCCAGCTTGGGGGACCCTGGAGCCTCAGGAGTGTTAGTCTCATTTTTCTCCCTCCCACCAGGCAAGAATGAACCCATAGCCTTTGTCTTGTATGCTCTTGCGAGAGTGGAGAAAGGGAGGAAGAATTCAAACTGCATGAATCTTATCAGAGTCAAGCCCTGTAAAGAGAGACCGGAAAAGCCGTAAGCCTGCTTAAGGGCAGCACGGGTGTAGGTCTGTACAGCTATGGAGAGGAAGGCAGGGGCTGTGGGTGAAGTCAAGGGCAAGACATTGAGACAATGAGAAGGCCTCAGAGCCGAGTAGTCCAGAACCATGGACAGCTCCCCGGGGTCCTGGCTCTGGTGGCTGTCTCCCTGAAATTTCAGGTGGGGTTAGGCTGCTCCACCCTGCCATCTGGCCGCTAGGGAATGCCTGCCCGCCAAGAACCGCAGGGCTCCTTTCCCGTAGGGTTCATTCTCTCCCTGTTTACTTTTCACTTCTCGACACAACTACTTAAACTTTGATTTTTGTTTTGTTTTGTTTGTTTTTGTTTTTGTTTTCAACACAGGGTTTCTCTGTGTAGCCCTGGCTGTTCTGGACTCCCTTTGTAGACCAGGGTGGCCTTGAACTCTCAGGGATTCACCTGCCTCTGCCTCCCCCAGTGCTGGGATCACAGGCTGGTGTTTCTTTCAACATTGAAAGAGAATGGTGGAAGTGCTGCTCTCTTAATAACGAACCCTTTTTATCCTCACTCCTCTCTTTTCATCACCTCATACAACTTCATGTAGCAAGATCATTTACTTCCTTTGTTTGTTTTTGTTTTGGTGGGGGAGAGGTTGGGTTTTTTGTTGTTGTTTGAGACAGGGTTTCTCTGTGTGTAGCCTTGACTGTCCTGGACTCACTTTGTAAACCAGGCTGGCTTCGAACTCACAGATAACCACCTGCATCTGCCTCCCTGAGTGCTGGGATTACAGGTGTGCACCACTGCGCCCAGCTTTACTTCCAAAATTCTTATTCCTTACTTCTGTACTGGGAGCTGAATCCAAGGCCTTGTGCTTTTCTGTGCTTGGTAGGTTATATCAGAAGTACCTCTCTGTCTGTCTGTCTGCCTCTTTATTATACTTTTTGTTTTGAGATAAGGTCTCACTAAGTCATCCTGGTTGACTTTAAACTCATTCTGGATTCCACAGGGCCTTGAGCTTGCCATTCTCCAATGTGAATAACAACAACAACAAAAAATATTCACACCTTTTAAGTATTTTTAGCAATTTTGCTGTCAGTGACTTTTAATAATTCCTCTGAGCTGGGCAACTGCAGCTTAAGCACTTGGGCTTTCTTGTTTTGGGCTGAAGCCTGGGTTTTGTGCACGCTGAGGTGCCCGCTGCCGAGCTGCCCTGCCTGGTCGTGTCTCATCACCGCTGCAGTGTCTGTCACAGCCGGTGTGTGGTGTGCACACATGGGAGATGACCTTTCCCCTCCAGGCCTCGCAGGAGGGACGGGTGTGTCCTTTTCAGAGGTGGTGAAATCAGCCCCACATCCCAGCCTGGCTGCCACGCCGAGTCCAGGAGCTTCCCAGGTGAGATGCCATTGGATTTTCTCTTAGAATTTGTCTTCTCATTCTGCTTTGGGTCTTTTTCTTTTTGTTAAAAGGTAAGTTTTGTTTTGTTTTTTTCCTCATCTATGTTAGACCTGCTATACTCAAGCAGAGGAAACCTCACCTTACCCCTCAACTCCACAGTCCTTGGGGATTGAACTGAGCGTCTCGCCCATGCGAAGCATGCACTTGACTATTGAATTACATCCTTGGCATACGTAAGCCAAGGGTGCTGGGAACTGAACCTGGGTCCTCTGCAAGAGCAGCACATGCTCCTAACCAGTGCACCATCTCCCCAGCATCTCATTTTTCAAGAATGAAAATAGAAACAAAATTAATTTTAACAATATGTCTTACTCAGTCTAATGTATCCAAAGTATCCTCATTTTAACATGTAACTGCTTAGAGGAATTACTGATGTCATAATCCATACTGTTTTTGCACTAGGTTTTTGAAATTTGGAATATGTTTTACAAATGCATATTTATTTATTTAAATTTTTATTTACTTTATTTGTAAGAGTGTTTTGTCTACATCTATGTTTATACATCACGTGTGTGCCTGGTGCCTGAGGAGACCAGAAGAGGGTGTTGGATCTCCTGGAACTGGAGTTACAGACCATAATAGTCACCATAAGGGTGCTGGGACTCAAACCTGGGTCCTCTGGAAGGGCAGCCAGTGCTCTAAGCCACTGATCCATCTCTCCAGCTCCAGAGTTTACATTCTTAAAACTGCAGGCTGCAAACAGGGGTGCTAGACATTTCCCTCCCCATTATGAGCTGCTCTTTCTGCCCCTCCAGGTCTACGAGGCCCTGCTCCCTCGATATGCTGAACTTGAACAGAGAATCTTGTCTCGGGCCCGGGGACCTCTGGAATGATTTCTGAGGGCCCAGGCACCCTGCTGGTGTCACCCTCCCACCTGCCCAGACGCTCAGGTGGCACCTGTCCTCTTGTTTGGTCCAGCAGGTCTGGGCTGTGCTGACTCAGTGGAGCGCTCCTGTCCTGTTCTGGACCATCCTGAGGCCAGAACTCCCTGGAGACGTGGGCTGTGTGCCCTGGGGTGGGAAAGCATTTTCTCCCTTTCTCTCTTTCATTCAGGAAAACACAGAGTGTAAAGTATGGCCACCAGAGACAATCATGTCCCCTTCCAAAGGCAGAAACTCTCTTTCAGCAACAAAATAGAGAGACAGCCTTCTCCCGGACTCTGACCACTCCTCTGCCCTTACCTTCAGCCACCTCACCACACTGGGACCACTCCCTCCATCCTTCCCTGCAAACAGACTTTAGCTACTTCTCCCCTCCTGTCCCCCTCTCAGCTGTTTCCACCCCCTGCTTCTGTGGTTTCCCAGGGTCCTCTCCTGTCTGTCCATCTTCTGCCCTTCATCCTCCCCCACCCCACACCCACCTGCTCTAACTTCCCTCTCAAGATGAGCCTCATGGGCCTGGTGAACATTTTTCCTGCACCTTCTCCCAGCTGACCTGGCCGGGCCGTCTCCAGGATAAACACTGTGGGGTTCTTCCCTATTTCCCTGCAGTTCACATGACGACAAAATTGTGTGTTTCTCTGCAAGAAGTTTTTAAATTCTGGATTTCTCTCTTTTCTTTTCTCTTTGTTAGTTTTGTTTTTTTTTGAGACAGGGTTTTTTTTTGTGTGTGTGTGTGTGTGTGTGTGTGTGTGTAGCCCCGGCTGTCCTGGACCTCACTCTGTAGACCAGGCTAGCCTCAAACTCACAGAGATCCACCTGCTTCTCCCCCAAGCGCTGGGATTAAAGTGGTGCACCATTGTACCCTGCATCTTTCTTTTCTTTTTCTTTTTTCTTTTTTTTCGGGGGAGGGGTCTCCTGTAGCCCAGGCTGCTCTTGAACTTCTTTGCAGCTGAAGGTGACCTCAAACTCCTGATCTTCCTGCCACCATCTCCCAGGGTTAGGCAATACCAGGGATCTAACCCGTGGCCTCATATGTCTAGGCAAACATGACCTGCTGCACCACATTCCAGCCTAGATTTCCTTTTCACTCGGCACACTTTATGACCCTCACTTTAGCGTCCTATGTATTTGAGCACATGCTGGCTCCTCCCTCCTTCCCCTTCACTCCTGGGCTACCTTATATGTCTCTGTTTCTTCCTCGGATTTCCCCTGGGATCTCATCCCTGCATCACCCTCTGCCACACAGCTGGCTGCGCTGAGCTCAGGACTTGTTTTAAACCAGATCTGATACAGTGGCAAGATGAGACCAGGTGCCTCAGAACAGTGACTGCTGGGAAGGCAAAGGGAGCAAGCATAGGCTGGAAGAGCAGTGTGTCTCCATGCGGAGCCACTTCCTTGGAAGGGAAGGCTCAGTGTGGGAGGGGGAAAGAAGCAGCAAGCAGCCATCTTGATCACAGCAAACCCACAATGGACATGGAAGGAAACGGCCACTGGGATGTTGCTTGTGACAGAGATTTTACACTATGGACCAACAGCAAAGGCTTCTGGGACCACAGAACAGTAAACAGGATGACATTCCAACATAGAGCTTTCGCACCGTAAATCCAACAGTTGTAGATGAAAAAAAGGACACCGTAGGTGACAAATTAAAAGACAAATACAAATGGAAAGACAGCAAGCCTCAAGAGAGCGACTAAACAGAAGAATAGCATTGTGACAGACATGGAGACTAATCAAAGAGGAGGTAGATATGGCAGGAAGTTCAGGGAGACCCCAGAGAAGAAAGGAGAAGAATAAAGATGCAGAAAGACAACATGGCTAATGTTGGAACATTAGAGCTGTCAAAAACGAAAGACAGGATCCTTGGTGATGTTTAAAACTACCCAAAATAAAAACAAAAATTTGAAAACACCTGAAATCACTCTCTCTTCCCTTTCCCTCTTTCCCCTCCCTTTAGCAGTGCTGGGACTTAAACCTGTGACTTTGAAGATGTTGGGCAAGCCCTCTCTCTGAGGTGTACTGCCAGCTTATCAGAAACCATCTTCAAAGTCTCCCTTGTAATTTAGATGTGTTCTAGCAGTGTTTTCAGATTTGTATATTACTGAGCCAACATCAGAAAAAGCAGCAGGGGAGCAGGGATGGGTGGAGAGGTGGCTCAGAGGTTAAGTGCACTGACCATTCTTCCAGAGGTCCTGGGTTCAATTCCTAGCACCCACACAGCAGCTCACAACCGTCTGGAAATCTGGTCCCAAGGGATCTGGTGACCTCTTCCATACTCCATATGATGCACAGACACACAAGCAGGAAAACCGGCTCTTCCTATAAAATGGAAATAAAGGTTGAAAACAATAACAACGTTACAACATATACTGTGTAACAGTCACGTTTTGTGTGTGAATGTAAAAGTGAAGTCGTTAGGCCCAAGAGGTGCCATCTCTTACAAAAGAAAGGGCAGGCTGTCAGTCAGCTTTCTCCACAGGAGGGTCGCAGTTGAACAGAACTTCCTTTTCCATGGTGTACCCCCAAGTGCCCATCCACATTCCATGTTCCCGTCTAACACAGCTTACTTAAGTTCAGTCGACGCGATTTGCCTCGAGTGGAATCGGAGAGTGGTTAGTGAAGGCCATGGGCAGGTGAAGGGCCGGAGCCTTTTAAAGCTTTCCTGCTTTTATCATCAGCCCTGGTTTTATATAGGGTAAAGGTCATTCATTAGTCTTATTCCTACCCAAGTTTCCTGCGTATAGAGGGGTTTCATGGACCCAGACATTCTTAATAAGGCTTTGAAGCATCTTGGTACAGCCAAGGCCACAGGCCACAGGCCACACCAGACTCCAGGCTAGGAACAAGGCTAGGAAAGGTCACAGGACTCCCTGGAACATTGTCAGAGGATGAAGGAAAATGGGACGAATGAGACGGCTCCGTGGGCTAAGGGGCTTGCTGCCAAGACTTATGATCTGAGTTCAAGCTCCAGAACCCACATGGAAGGAGAGAACCATGTCCAGCAAGTTGTCCTTTGACCTTCACACTTGTGCGTTGGCAGTGTGCGTGCCCCTCCCCCTAGTGTGAGTTAATGACAAAAGGATGCTGAGCTCTGTGTAGCTAAGCTATCCATGTGTCAAGGATGCAGAGAGAATGTGTTAGTCGTGCCTGAGCACGACTAAGGTTTACTCACAGCTTCTTGGCATTCTAAGGTCAGCTGCCGCCCTCCTTGGATGGGGACACCTGAGCAGGATGTGAGGGCTGGAGTGAGAGATGTCCTCATTTGCTTTGTGTTGATGTGATAAACACTGATCAAAGGCAAGTTAGTGGAGTAAAGGGTTAATTTCACTTTCCCTTCCAGGTCACAGTGATCCCTGGGGGAAGTCAGGGCAGGAGCTGTGAGAAATGCTGCTTAACTGGCCTCATCACAAACTCATGCTCAGCTATGTTTCTTTTCTTTTTTTAAAAAAATAATTTTTTTCATTTCGTGTACATTGGTGTTTTGCCTGCATGTATGTCTGTGTGACAGTGTCAGATGCCCTGAAACAGGGGTTACAGACAGTTGTGAGCTGCCATGTGGGTGCTGGGGATTGAATCAGGGTCTTCTGGAAGAACAGCCAGTGCTCTTAACCACTGAGCCATCTCTCCAGCTCCTCAGCCACACTGATTATAGAGCCCAGACACACAGGCCTAGGAGCGGTGCTGCCCAGTTAGGCCAGTCCCTCCCACATGAACCATCATCAAGACAGTCTCTCACGGACCTGGCCACAGGACAGTCTGATCTGGGCAGCCCCTCAGCTGAGAGTTCCAAAGCCAGCCAGGACAGGGGAGGGGCAAGGAGAGGACAAAGCTCCTGTCACTCATGTTGTCACACACACCACACAGGCAGTTTCGAGGAGCCGAAACTAAGCAGATACTTGAGGCTTCAATCATGAGAAGGGAGAGCTGAGCTATAAAACTACTCAGTACCATTAAAGACATGAGTATTAAAAACCTTGTAATCATAGCCCGATGCAGTGGTACACACTTATAATCTCAGCACTCAGGGAGGTAGAGGCAGGTGGATCTCTGTGAGTTCTAGACCAGCCTGCTCTACAAAGTGAGTCCAGGACAGCCAGGACTACACAGAGAAACACTGTCTCAAAACAAACATTCAACTATATAATCAATATAATAAGTTTTTTTTAAAGATTTATTTATTTATTTTATGTGTATGAACACTCTGTTTTCATGGACACCAGAAGAAGAAATCAGATTCCATTGCAGATGGTTGTGAGCCACCATGTGGTTGCTGGGAATTGAACCCAGGACCTCTGGAAGAGCAGTCAGTGCTCTTAACCTCTGAGCCATCTCTCTAGCCCCCTATAATAAGTTTTTAAAAAGCAAGAAAAAGTGCAAATCTCGATTCGAGGGGGATGGGTCAAGGTGTTTGCTGCCAGGCTCTGTCACCTGAGTTCCATCCCTGGGGACCCATGTGACAGAAGGAGAGCACTGACCCCCGCAAGCTGTCCCCTGATTTCCACACAGGTGCTGGTACATAAACCCTCATAGGTACACAATAAGTAAATTTTAAAAATGCAAGTCTCCCTCAACGTGCAAAGAAAAGGCAACAGATCAAATATCAAGCAACGAGTGGTACAGCTTTGTGCACACCGCAAACAGAAGTGCTAGCACGAGTCCAGTCAGTAAATGTGAGAACCTGGAAGCCACCACTGAAAGAAAGGAATTCCCCGACAGTGTGCAGACCGCCCTGCTCCTGTCCTGTTCAGGAGACATGCACAAAACTGGCGGCTCAGAAACGCCGAAGAGTGGAGTGGGCAGCAGCAGTCCAAATACAGAGCCCACAGAAAGCAGAAATCGCAATATCCAGCCCACAGAGGGCAGACTTCTTGAAGCAAGAAGCATAAGAGGACTGCCTTAGCGCTAAAGGCCTCACTTCGCAACAGCGAGATGCTAGTCGCCAGTGCTACAGGCTCAGCTATTTGATTTGTCAGCTTGAAATAACATTCTGGAATCCCGGGCCTGTGCCAGCGCCCTGTGCTGTCTTTCTTTCCCTTTAGCTGGGTCTTGTCAAAGCCTGTGGCATTTATACAGCAGCTGCAGGGAAAACAGCTGGAAACAACAGCTTTAACACACTACTACATGGAGGTAGTTTCTACAAAGTAGATCCAATCGTGCATTGAATGTTCCACACTGCATGTGTGTTTCTGTGGATGTATGTATGTGTGTGGAGGTGTGTGCGTATATATGTGTGTGTGTGTTTGCACGTGCGCGCGCGTGCATATGGATGGGAGCATGTCTGTGGGGGTGGATGCCTATGTGTGTATGAGTGTGTGTGCATGTATGTGTGTATATGTGTGTGGGTACAGGTGTGTATGGGTGCACGTGTATGTGGGTGAATGTGTTTATGGGTGTGTGAGAGAGATGGTTCACGTGTATGTGTATGGTGCCTGTTTGTGTGTGGATAGGCGCATATGTGCTGTTTTTTCACTTAGTTGTTTAATATTTTGATGTGGATATTTTCAAAGATTCAAACACTATGCAGCCAACATCTAACCTTTCAGAAGCTGGTAAAATTGTTAAGAGCCACATGTAATTCATCATGTTTTTGCCGTGTCTCTGCAATAGAGGCGGATGTAAAACACACTTCTGTGTTATCCTGTGTCCCTGGGTTACTACAGGGATTGAGCTTGCTTGATGACCCCCAATGGACATGTTGTGAGAGCAAGAAATAAGTTTCAGGGTTTTAAACCCCAAAGGTTTGGGGATTTTTCCATCTGCACAGCATAACCTAATCTTTCTCGCCCTTTCTACCCAATCTGATTCATTTAGTTGACCACGCCATCATGAAATGAACAGAGCGGGTAGGGAGAAGATGTGGGGGTCAAGGAAGGAAGAAATGGAGCAAAGAAACGAAGCACTCTGAGATCAATGCCTAAGAAATAACACGTCACTGGGGTTCAGGGCTTTAGCTTGAGCCCCAGGAATGACAGTGTAACAGATATTGGGGGAATGGCGTCACTGGAAAAATCCACAAGCTCCCCCTCCCTTGTATGGAATAGGGAATGAGCTTTCTGGACTGTGGGGTCCAAAGCAAACCCTTGCATGTGTCTAGAGCATATACGTAGCAGTGGCCTCTCAGTAGCTGAGCGAATCTGGGGCCACGTCTTTTCAGCTGTCTCCAGGGAAAATTACAAAAGTTACGGAAACCCTGGTAATTTGCTTGGGGTTGAGGGTTAGCCCAGAAAGTGTGAAACCTTGGATTCAACACCAAGAACTGTTTGAAACCTCTGCAGTTTCTGGCATGGCAGAGACACTAGCAAATGACTCTTTTACTTTCTTCCAATTTTGCAGAAAGATTAATTCTTACCATAGGTTTGGCAACCTCTGCATTCAGGTTTTTCTTTCCTTATTGAGACTACTCACTGTGTCTCAGAGGAAACATGCCTTATGCTTTCTCTTTGGTATAACGGAATTCACAGCAGCATTATTCTTTCTTTTATTCTATCTGTCTATCTATCTATCTATCTATCTATCTATCTATCTATCTATCTATCTATCTATCTATCTGGTTGTTTGTTTTGTTTTTCACATCAGGGTTTCCTTGTAGACCAGGCTAGCCTGGAACTCACAGAGTTCTGCCTGCCTCTACCTTCCAAGTGCTGTGATTAAAGGGGTGTGCCACCACCACCCAGCAATGGCCATTATTAAGTGAAATGTGGGTTTGTTGAACCAAAACACCATTATTCAATGACCACTGATCTTGAAGCCAAGCTGGCCATTAAGATACCAATGGGGAGCCAGGTGAGGTGGAGCATGCCTGTCCTCCCAGCGCTCAGGGAGGCGGACCTCTTTGAGTTTAAGGCCAGCCTGGTCTACAAAGGGTGTCTAGGACAGCCGAGGCTTCATGGAGAAACCATGTCTTGAACACCAAGACTGGAGAGATAGCTAGTGGTCAAGAATGCTGGCTGCTCTTGCAGTCATCCAGAGTTCAGTTCCCAGCACCCACATTGGTGACTCACAGCTGCCTATAACTGCTCTCTCTAGCCCTCTTCTGGCCTTTGATGCCCTTTTTGATGCCATCCAAGGTCTTTGATGCCCTCTCCTGGCCTCCACAGGCACCTGCACACAAATGTGCATACATATACACATAAATAAAAAGGAATCTTAGAAAAGAAAGAGCAATGGGTGGATGGAAACTCTGGACAAAGGCAGAAATCATGTCCTGGAGGGCCAGAGAAGGGTGGCAAGAAGTTAGCATGCTACCCAGACTGGCTTGCAGCTTGAAAGTTCTAATTTATAAAAATGATTATTTAATGTGTTGGGCTTTGGTTGGCTGTGAGCAACTGATCTAATGAAGAGAAACCACAGATAAAGTGGAATTACTATAATGTAATATCACCAGCTTTTTGGGGGGATAGGGAGCACTTTCAAGACAGGGTTTCTCTGTGTAGCCTTGGCTGTCCTAGAACTAGCTCTGTAGACGAGGCTGGCCTTGAACTAAAAAAGATCTTCCTGCCTCAGCCTCCCAAGTGCTGGGTTTAAGGCATGCACCACCACCACCACCACCAACTGGCTAAGCATCCTTTTTCTGTGGAGGTCAAAAGAGGGCATCAAAGACCTTGGAGCTGGAGCCATAGACATTTGTGAGTCATCCCTTCTGGGTCCTTGGAACCAAATCCAGACATTTTGCAACAGTAGGAAGTGCCTTTTTTTTTTTTTTTTTTAAAAAACCACTGAGCCATCTCTCCAGCCCCATAGTCCCACCTTTTAAAGATTCAGCTCAGTTACTATGTAGAAATTGTACTAGGGCCAGAGAGATAGTGCAGGGATTTGAGTTTGATTCCCAGTACCCACACAGTGGGAAGAGAGAACTGACTGCAAGTTCTTCTCTGACCTCAGTGAGCACATGTTCTCTTTCTCTCTCAACACTCACCTCACAGAAGCACAAACACGAAATGAACAAGTAAAATGTAGTACAACTTTAAAAAGAAGCAGAAGATATACTTAGCCACACTGTGAAGGAGCCTCTCAGTCCACTGCTGTTAAAGCAGTCCAGATATGGGATGTTGCCTGACGGAAGCACAGGGTGTATGAAAAAAAAAATGGCTGGCTGTTGGATGCATTTGAGACATGCTGGCAAAATGGATATGGGACACATTCAAGGGTAACTCAGAAAGCTTTGATCTGGACAACTGTGCCCTCGATGAAGACAGGGACAAATGGGAAGGAGCAGGTTAGTGGGGAGGGGGGAAACATATGGGAGCTCTCTTTTGGCTAGGTCAAATTCAGTATGCCAGATAGGCTGTCAAATGCAATTGTGAAGCTGGTAGTTCAATATATGAAACTGGATTTTCTAGTAACAGCAGAGTAGCATCTTGATATGTGGACATTTTGGACCACTCAGAATTATGTGACCTATGACCTGGTGTAGCCTGGACATACATAGAGAGTTCCAGGACAGCCAGAGCTACATAGTAAGACCTTCTCTCAAAAATACCAATATTAATGATGTTGGTGGTGATGATGATGATGGTGGTGGTGATTACAATGTTGATGATGATACTGATGATGGTGATGATGATGATGATGGTGGTGATGATGTTGATGATGGTGTTGGTGATGATGTTGATGATGGAGGTGGTGATGTTGATGATGGTGTTGGTGATGATGAT